GTCTCGTTTGATGGAAACTGCGCAGCGGAGCATCTTTAGTAGGAATGGACTCGCGCTTCTGGCTGCTCGAGCGCTGATCATGTCTGACTGGACTGCATTTGTTTATTGTAGTGTAATAACACCTAAACAAAAATCCACTTATAAAACGGTTTAAAATGTATGTTATATATATATATATATATATATATATATATATATATATATATATATATATATATATATATATAGATACACACACACACACACACACACACAGTACCAGTCAAACGTTTGGACACACCTACTCATTAAAGGGTTTTTCTTTATTTTTACTATTGTCTACACTGTAGAATAATAGTGAAGACATCAAAAATATGAAATAACACATATGGAATCATATAGTAACCAAAAAAGTGTTAAACAAATCAAAATATATTTTATATTTGAGATTCTTCAAATAGCCACCCTTTGCCTTGATGATAGCTTTGCACACTCTCAACCAGTTTCACCTGGAATGCTTGTCCAACAGTCTTGAAGGAGTTCCCAAATACGCTGAGCACTTGTTGGCTGCTTTTCCTTCACTCTGCCGTCCGACTCATCCCAAACCATCTCAATTGGGTTGAGGTCAGGGGATTGTGGAGGCCAGGTCATCTGATGCAGCAGTCCACCACTCTCCTTCTTGGTAAAATAGCCCTTACACAGCCTGGAGGTGTGTTGGGTCATTGTCCTGTTGAAAAAAAATGATAGTCCCACTAAGCCCAAACCAAATGGGATGTTGTATCGCTGCAGAATGCTGTGGTAGCCATGCTTGTTAAGTGTGCCTTGAATTCTAAATAAATCACTGACAGTGTCACCAGCAAAGCACCCCCCCACCATAACACCACCTCCTCCATACTTTACGGTGGGAACTACACATGTGGAGATCATCCGTTCACCCACACCGCGTCTCACAAAGACACGGTGGTTGGAACCAAAAATCTCCAATTTGGACTCCAGACCAAAGGACACATTTCCACCAGCCTAATGTCCATTGCTTGTGTTTCTTGGCCCAAGCAGCTCTCTTCTTATTATTGATGTCCTTTAGTAGTGATTTCTTTGCAGCAATTCGACCATGAAGGCCTGATTCACACAGTCCCCTCTGAACACTTGATGTTGAGATGTGTCTGTGACTTGAACTCTGTGAAGCATTTATTTGGGCTGCAATTTCTGAGTCTGGTAACTCTAATGAATGTATCCTCTGCAGCAGAGGTAACTCTGGGTCTTCCATTCCTGTGGCGGTCCTCATGAGAGCCAGATGCATCATAGCAGTTGATGGTTTTTGCGACTGCACTTGAAGAACCTTTCAAAGTCCTTGAAATGTTCCGTATTGACTGATCTTCATGTCTTAACGTAATGATGGACTGTCGTTTCTCTTTGCTTATTTGAGCTGTTCTTGCAATAATATGGACTTGGTATTTTACCAAATAGAGCTATCTTCTGTATACCCCCCTACCTTGTCACAACTGATTGGCTCAAACACATTAAGAAGGAAAGAAATTGAAATGCATTCCAGGTGACTACCTCATGAAGCTGGCTGAGAGAATGCCAAGAGTGTGCAAAGCTGTCATCAAGGCAAAGGGTGGCTATTTGAAGAATCTCAAATATTTTGATTTGTATAACAGTTTTTTATTTACTACACAATTCCATATGTGTTATTTCATAGTTTTGATTTCTTCACTATTATTCTTCAAAAATAGTAAAACATAAAGAAAAACCCTTGAATGAGTAGGTGTGTCCAAATTTTTGACTGGTAGTGTATGTATGTATGTATGTATTTATGTATGTATGTATGTATGTATGTATGTATGTATGTATGTATGTATGTATGTATGTATGTATGTATGTATGTATGTATATATATATATATATATATATATATATATATATATATATATATATACATAAACACACACAGTTGAAGTCGGAAGTTTACATTCACCTTAGCCAAATACATTTAAACTCAGTTTCACAATTCCTGACATCTAATCCTAGTAAAAATTCCCTGTCTTAGGTCAGTTAGGATCACCACTTTGTTTTAAGAATGTGAAATGTCAGAATAATAGTAGAGAGAATTATTTATTTAAGCTTTTATTTATTTCATCACATTCCCAGTGGGTCAGAAGTTTACATACACTCAATTAGTATTTGGTAGTATTGTCTTTAAATTGTTTAACATGGGTCAAACGTTTCGGGCACAATAAGTTGGGTGAATTTTGGCCCATTCCTCCTGACAGAGCTGGTGTAACTGAGTCAGGTTTGTAGGCCTCCTTGCTTGCACACACTTTTTCAGGTCTGCCCACACATTTTCTATAGGATTGAGGTCAGGGCTTTGTGATGGCCCCTCCAATACCTTGACTTTGTTGTCCTTAAGCCATTTTGCCACAACTTTGGAAGTATGCTTGGGGTCATTGTCCATTTGGAAGACCCATTTGCAACCAAGCTTTAACTTCCTGACTGATGTCTTGAGATGTTGCTTCAATATATCCACATAATTTTCCTTCCTCATGATGCAATCTATTTTGTGAAGTGCACCAGTCCCACCTGCAACAAAGCACCCCCACAGCATGATGCTGCCACCCCCGTGCTTCACGGTTGGGATGGTATTCTTCAGCTTGTAAGCACCCCCTTTTTCCTCCAAACATAACGATGGTCATTATGGCCAAACAGTTCTATTTTTGTTTCATCAGACCAGAGGACATTTCTCCAAAAAGTACGATCTTTGTCCCCATGTGCAGTTGCAAACCGTAGTCTGGCTTTTTTATGGCGGTTTTGGAGCAGTGGCCTCTTCCTTGCTGAGCGGCCTTTCAGGTTATGTTACTATAGGAGACGTTTTACTGTGGATATAGATACTTTTGTACCAGTTTCCTCCAGCATCTTCACAAGGTCCTTTGCTGTTGTTCTGGGATTGATTTGCACTTGTCCCACCAAAGTACATTCATCTCTAGGAGACAGTACGCGTCTCCTTCCTGAGCGGTATGACGGCTGCGTTGTCCCATGGTGTTTATACTTGCGTACTATTGTTTGTACAGATGAACGTGGTGTTTGGAAATTGCTCCCAAGGATGAACCTGACTTGTGGAGGTCTAAAAAAGAAAATCTGAGGTCTTGGCTGATTTCTTTTCATTTTCCCATGATGTCAAGCAAAGAGGCACTGAGTTTGAAGGTAGGCCTTGAAATACATCCACAGGTACACCTCCAATTGACTCAAATGACGTTAATTAGCCTATCAGAAGCTTCTAAAGCCATGACATCATTTTCCGGAATTTGCCAAGCTGTTTAAAGGCAGAGTCAACTTAGTGTATGTAAACTTCTGACCCACTGGAATTGTGATACAGTGAATAATAAAGTGAAATAATCTGTCTGTAAACAATTGTTGGAAAAATTACATGTGTCATGCACAAAGTAGATGTCCTAACCGACTTGCCAAAACTATAGTTTGATAACAAGAAATTTGTGGAGTGGTTGAAAAACGAGTTTTAATGACTCCAACCTAAGTGTATGTAAACTTCCGACTTCAACTGTATATAAAAGTATGGTTCTCTCTAGCAGTTGAGCTGGTTTTATGCCTTTAATCAACACACACATTGCTAATACAGATACCAAGGCTAGATGCTGCATAAGCTTGTGACTTTGATGATATCAAAAGAGTGGGCTGACGATTCAGATCATTTTGGCATGATTGATACACATAAATGACCCCATACAAATTTGTTTGTGGCTGCCGAGTGTGTCCATTGAAGAAGTTGGGGAAAGTTAATTATTGACAGTGACGGTGTAAACTCCACCACATGTTTTAAGAAGACCCTCATGTCTGTCAGAGAATAGATGCAGGCTTGGAAACAGGAATGCGCGCTCTGGAGAGAACGGATTAGGCTCCCTTTTATTGCTTCAATGAACAATCCATGCTTCGCACAGATACACACCACCTATCTACCATCACCAAACCATGCTCCTTCCCAACAACAGGTGGTTAGAATAATTCCTATTCAGTAGGAAGACCTATATGCAAGTGCACTATTTTGAACATGTTACCACGTTACAGATTTCTAGCAGGCTATAAAGTTCCACCAAGTCATTGTGTTTATTCTCTCTCTCTCTCTCTCTCTCTCTCTCTCTCTCTCTCTCTCTCTCTCTCTCTCTCTCTCTCTCTCTCTCTCTCTCTTTCTCTCTCTCTCTCGTGAGAAAAATTGCAAGAAATATGACATGCAGTCAGTGAAAGGATAATTCTGAGAGGATGACTTTCCAGCCTGACTGAACAGGAGACTGTGGGAGGGAGAGGACCCTCTCTCAATGCACACTCAATGTTAAGGAACACACCCACACACACGTTGAGGAAGGTAGTAGCCTCCGTGCATTCTGACAATGTAGTCGGAAAAGCTCTCAATCTAAGTTGATTCTGTAGCACCCCCCAATGGTGCGAATTGTAATATTACTTCTTTCAGATTTCTAATTTGAGGCAAATCAGATCAATTCTAACGTTAGAGGTAAAAGACAACATGAAATAGACCTCAAGTGTGAGGCAAATAACTTCTTCAAAAAACGTCAATATTATATCAAACGTATATTTATTTTTCATAGACGTCTGTGTCAATTATACATCAATAGGGATGAAATTCACATCAAAAAATGCTTGTTTGTGTGAGTGACCGTTCTTGAGTGTTTGTTTTTGTGTGTACTGTATATGCGTGACAAACAAGTATTTTTTGCATCAATACCATTTTTGGTTACAAAAAATATAAACAGTAACATCTGTAAATCCTTGGTATCAAACAGTACTTTTTCAATAGGAATGTTATATTGGACATTTAGCATATAAGTAGCCTTCTGTAGTCAAATAAAAACACAAATAATTCCAGAAAGGACATTAACATTGTAAAAACAACAAATTCCTTTCTTAACATCCTCTCTGTATCTCAAACATCTTGCGACAATTTTCTCTTTTCAATTTAAAAGTCGATCTATCTTGGATCACAAAATACAAGCTTAATTTGTCCCTATCCAGTTGTCACCTTGAACCACACACACCAAACTGGTGCAGATGGCTGTATAAAAACCAGATGGCTGTATAAAAACCATTAAATTAATGAATAGGGAACACTGGGCGTTGACAGACAGGCACAGATTACCTATGTAGTGCAGACCTGGGCAGAAAACAGTTGTATTTTGTAGTTTATTTGAAAACATTTCAAATACTCGAGGTAGTCAAATATACACCGAACAAAAAATATAAAGGCAACATGTAAAGTGTTGGTCCCATGTTTCGTGAGCTGAAATAAAACATCTCAGAAATTTAGTGAGCATTTCTCCTTCACCAAGATAATCCATCCACCTGACAGATGTGACATCAAGAAGCTGACTAAACAGCATGATCATCACAGGTGCACCTTGTGCTGGGGACACTAAAAAGCCACTCTAAAATGTGAAGTTTTGTCACACAACACAATGCCACAGATGCCTCAAGTTTTGAGGGAGTGTGCAATTGGCATGCTGACTGCATGAATGTCCACCAGAGCTGTTGCCAGAGAAATCAATGTTAAGTTCTCTACCATAAGCCACCTCCAACGTCATTTTAGAGAATTTGGCAGTATGTCCAACCGGCCTCACAACCACAGACCACATGTAACCACGCCAGCCCAGGACCTCCACATCCGTCTTCTTCAACTGCAGGATCATCTGAGACCAGCCACGCGGACAGCTGATGAAACTGTGGGTTTGCACAACCGAAGAATTTCTGCACACAATGTCAGAAACCGTCTCAGGGAAGCTCATCTGAGTGCTTGTCGTCCTCACCAGGGTCTTGACCTGACTGCAGTTCGGCGTCGTAACCGACGTAACCGACTTCAGTCGGCAAATGCTCACCTTCGATGGCCACTGGCATGCTGGAGAAATGTGCTCTTCACAGATGAATCCTGGTTTCAACAGTACCAGGCAGATGGCAGACAACGTGTATGGCGTTGTGTGGGCGAGCGGTTTGCTAATGTCAACGTTGTGAACAGAGTGGCCCATGGTGGCGGTGGGGTTATGGTATGAGCAGGCATAAGCTACGGACAACAAACACAATTGCATTTTATTGATGGCAATTTGAATGCACAGAGATACCGTGACAAGATCCTGAGGTCCATTGGTCGTGCCATTCATCCACCTCCATCATCTCATGTTTTCAGCATGATCATGCACGTCCCTATGTCGCAAGGATCTGTACACAATTCCTGGAAGCTGGAAATGTCACAGTTCTTCCATGGCCTGCATAATCACCAGACAAGTCACCTATTGAGAATGTTTGGGATGCTCTGGGTCGACATGTATGACAGTGTGTTACAGTTCCCGCCAATGTCCAGCGACTTTGCACAGACATTGATGAGGAGAGGGACAACATTCCACAGGCCACAATCAACAGCCTGATTAACTCTATGCGAAGGTGATCTGTCGCTTTGCATAAGGCAAAGGGTGGTCATACCAGATACTGACTGGTTTTCTGATCCACGCCCCTACCTTTTAAAAAAGATATCTGTGACCAACAGATGCATATCTGTATTCCCAGTCATGTGAAATCCATAGATTGGGACCTAATTTATTTATTTAAATTGACTGATATTTTAGTTCAGTGTAGTTTATATACAGTATAGTTTAAACTAAAAGGCAACTATCTTCTTTGATAATCAAATACAGGTCTCAGAATGTTTTCTTTTAATATTTGAAAGTATTTTGAATACCTTTGCAGAAAACCAAATTGGCTAATATTTGAAGGTATTTCAATATATATGCAAGTAACTTGAAAACTAAAAAAATATTTATTTGATGGCTGCCAAATATTTGATGAAGAAACTACAACAGTTAGTTGAATCAGTCTAAATATATGATCATAAGCATATGTTTTGGAGGGCTCTCTGATATGAATCTTAATGTATCCAGTATTTAAATACACAAGGGACATGGAATCACCTCAGCGTTAGAGTAGACCACTTTTGCTCACTTCAAAATGAAGCGTTTTCACACATAGCTTTGAGCTATAGTATCGAATCAGGGGCGTCATGCACCCCAAAAATCTGAGGGCACAAAGTACGCGAGGATGTCTGGGGGGGGGGGGTTGGAGAATTTTGCATGAAACACCTGAAACTGCTTTTTCCTGCAATCTAGAGCCATAATCATTATGCTTAATTCTATGTAAAAAAATACATATGTTTATTTTATCTAAGCATACCTCTTGAGCTGTCTGTATCCTCCCTGACGGGTGGTTCTTCTTTTATAGAAACTAAATACGCTTATCTGCATCTCTGCTGAAATCTGTGTAAATGATTGAAAGGAATGTGAGTCTTATTCAGTACATTTAGTAATTTCTTGCTTTTCTAAAGTCTACCATCCTTTCCAGCAGGCAGGACAGCTAAGATAGTTAGACAAGCTAGCTACTTTCATCTGGCTTTTTTATGGCGGTTTTGGAGCAGCGGCTTCTTCCTTGCTGAGCGGCCTTTCAGGTTATGTTAATATAGGACTCGTTTTACTGTGGATATAGATACTTTTGGACCTGTTTCCTCCAGCATCTTCACAAGGTCCTTTGCTGTTGTACTGGGATTGATTTGCACTTTTCGCACCAAAGTACGTTCATCTCTAGGAGACAGAACGCGTCTCCTTCCTGAGCGGTATGACGGCTGCGTGGTCCCATGGTGTTTATACTTGCGTACTATTGTTTGTTCAGATGAACTTGGTACCTTCAGGCGTTTGTAAATTGCTCCCAAGGATGAACCAGACTTGTGGAGGTCTGCAAACATTTTCCTGAGGTCTTGGCTGATTTCTTTTGATTTTCCCATGATGTCAAGCAAAGAGGCACTGAGTTTGAAGGTAGGCCTTGAAAAACATCCACAGGTACACCTCCAATTGACTCAAATGATGTCAATTAGCCTATCAGAAGCTTGTAAAGCCATGACATCATTTTCTGGAATTTTCCAAGCTGCTTAAAGGCACAGTCAACTTAGTGTAGGTAAACTTCTGACCCACTGGAATTGTGATACAGTGAATTATATGTGAAATAATCTGTCTGTAAACAGTTGTTGGAAAAATTACTTGTGTCATGCACGAAGTAGATGTCCTAACCGACTTGCCAAAACTATAGTTTGTTAACAAGAAATTTGTGGAGTGGTTGAAAAATGAGTTTTAATGACTCCAACCTAAGTGTATGTAAACTTCCGACTTCAACTGTATATCCGGGTTGCATCCGGTTTACACAGCCCAACTTCCCATGTGCACTAGCGCTCAGTGCGCATAGGGAACAGCGCGAGCAGCGACAACGTCATCACGTCATCCCAAAAAAATGGCAGACATTGGATGAATATAAGATGTTCATATCTTTGGTTGTGAGTAATGAAAAGAAAATCGGCCTCAGTGACAATTATTTGAATAATTCAATGGATGTTCTGTGCACAAAGGTGATGACTAAAGTGTCTTATTGGGAATGTTCTAATCTGACTTCTCTATGGAAATTGTCTTTCTGGGCCGGACGTCAGTTAAACGGCAGTACCGAAGCAAGACTGTAAGACCAGTGGAAACCATGCTTCGAGACCGGAACCCTGGCTCCTTGATCAGAAGGAGCTGCTGTGTTCTAATGGACTACAGGAGTATAGTACACATGACCGTGTTCCCCTCACTAACAGTGGCTGTATTTCTTTTATTTTGTGATATATTTTTTTATTAAATTCATTTCACATTTTACAGAGGGAGAATGGGAATAAAGCACCAGTGGAATATAGTTTTTCCTCCCCTACATCCTTCAATAACACACTATCAGTTGCAGTTGTTGTATGTCTGCACCTGCTTTCGTATGGCCTCCCGTGCGTCCGTGGCGTTCTTCTCAAGCTCTCCTAGCTCAGTCTGCTGGTCCTGCATTCTCTGCTCATTATTACGGAACTTCTTCTCAAGCTCTGAAACAGAACAGCAGAGAACTCATTATAGGAAGACAACAATTCAGGGACATTAATTGAAAAGCTGTAACCGAAAGGTCGCTGGTTCTAATCCCCGAGCCGACTAGGTGAAAAATCTGCCGATGTGCCCTTAAGCAAGGCACTTAACCCTAATTGCTCCCGTAAGTCGCTCTGGATAAGAGCGTCTGCTAAATGACTAAAATGTAAATGTAATAATGCACTGCTTTGGAGAAGAACCCTACGGGCCCTGGTCAAAACTGTTGTTCTACGTAGAGAACTCCCAGTTCACACTTACTAGCACATCTACATACAAAACCAAAGACACCATGCTGATATCCTTTGGCCATGGAATACTTTACAGCCATCAATTCACTTCATGGTTCCATACGGCTCTATGTTGGATACATATGGTATCTCATATGTCAAGTTTCAGAGGGCAGTACAGTACACACTTCGTAGGGTTTCTATGCCCTTGTCGGTCTTAGTGAGCAGGTCTTCAGCCTCCTTCTTGATCTCCTGGGCCCTCTGGTTGACACTCCCCAGGTCCCCAGAGGCCCCACCCAGAGAGTCCACCTTCATCTGCAGGTCCTTGTACAGATCCTCCGTCTCATTCAGCCTCTGGATCACAACACAGAGACACACACAGCAACACATCAACAACCACACACATAACTATACATCAACAACCACACACACAGCTACACATCAACAACCACACACACAACTACACATCAACAACCACACATACAACTACACATCAACAACCACACATACAACTACACATCAACAACCACACACAGAACCATACATCAACAACCACACACACAGCTACATATCAACAACCACACACACAACTACACATCAACAACCACACATACAACTACACATCAACAACCAGACACACAACTACACATCAACAACCAGACACACAGCCACACATCAACAACCAGACACACACAACTGCACATCAACAACCACACACACACACAACTACACATCAACAACCACACACACACAACTACACATCAACAACCAAACACACACAACTACATCAACAACCAGACACACAGCTACACATCAACAACCAGACACACACAACTACACATCAACAACCAGACACACACAACTACACGTCAACATGTTGTAGCACAACCAGGAAACAGGCACACTCATCCATAGACACACATGCAAACACATGCTTATGCACAACACAGGCATGGACACGCACGAACGCGCGCACACACACACACACACACTCACACACACACACACACACACACACACCTGCTCCAGTCCCAATGCTGCATGAGTGGCATTTTTGGCCTGGTTCTGGACACCTTGGGACATCTCCCTGTTTTGATTTGTCTTGTTCCGTAGTGCCTCCACCCCTATGGACAGGTTGGCCAGTCGCATCATAGCACCCATCTGCTTGGTCTCCAGTTCCTGAAGGTTCTCTTCCACCTGAGAAGTGGGAAAGGTACACAGCAAGAAGGGACATATCAGACTGAGAAACACACACACACACACACACACAAACACACACACACACACATACATTCATACACACACTGAGGTGTGGCTGTGAAGAGTAGTGTACAGTACCGTTGCGGTGGCATTCCTGGTGCTGTTCAGGTTGTTCAGGGCATGGTCCAGGGCTTTGGTTGCTTTCTGAATGGCCTTCTCAGACGCATCCAACGCCTGCTTAGTCGTGTTGGCTGTGTCCTTCACTCCTTCTGCCCGTGTCCTACAAACACATACAGGACAAGTGAAAAATGTGTGTGTGTGTGTGTGTGTGTGTGTGTGATAGACTGAGAGCTCTGCTCTGCTACGAAAACATATACTGAAAGGCTATGACCACAGTGTTTCTAAACCCAGATGCGCAACATTGCGAGACTTCCGGGAACGCTTGCGTAACAGACCAAACAGACCAGGCCGGGGTTTGGGGTTTGAGAAGTCAAGTGAAAAATTATTCCTTAGTTGTTAATTTTCTCTAAATCTAAAGGAACAACCTAGATTGGAGCCAACGTCTTAAATAGCTGAACATGTTATTACTCCAACCTCATGAAAGTGACTAACTGAAACGTATTAATGTTTATCAAAAAACGACTTTATATCGAAGGAGTGCCTTTGATTTGGTGGCCTACACATGCGCAGTTCGGCGCGAGATGACCGTTAGACCCGATGAGGATTTTCTATGCATGAGCTTAGCTACACTGAACAAAAAGTATAAGGAGTATTTCTGTCTGTAAAAAGGCCCTTTTGTGGGGAAAAACTCATTCTGATTGGCTGGGCCTGGCTTCCCAGTGGCTGGGCCTGGCTTCCCAGTGGGTGGGCCTGGCTTCCCAGTGGCTGGGCCTGGCTTCCCAGTGGCTGGGCCTGGCTTCCCAGTGGCTGGGCCTGGCTTCCCAGTGGCTGGGCCTGGCTTCCCAGTGGCTGGGCCTGGCTTCCCAGTGGCTGGGCCTGGCTTCCCAGTGGCTGGGCCTGGCTTCCCAGTGGCTGGGCCTGGCTTCCCAGTGGGTGGGCCTGGCTTCCCAGTCATGTGAAATCCATAGAATAGGGCCATATTAATTTATTTCAATTGACTGATTTCCTTTTATGAACTGTAACTAAGCAAAATCTTTGAAATGGTTGCATTTTGCGTTTATATTTTTGTTCAGTATAGTTAATGTTAATGCCCCCCCCCCCCAAACTTATTTGAAAGATTCACCATCCATGGGTTTATGGTGAGAACGTACATGGCTCGAATGCAATGCAATTTCGTCTGCTATTTCTGGAGAAGTGCAAATATGATCTGTAAGATGGTTCAATTATGTTTGTAAAACATTACACTTGCGAGCAGTATAATGGTGAGTTGACATTCCCCCTTTCTCTTTATATTGGATCTTTATCCAGCTCCTGTGAAAAGTTTGGATGTGCATAAAACCCTCCATAGTCTAAGTTGCCTTGTCTGTATAAGCCCATGGGGAGCAGTTATGGTGCCTGTAACTGTATTTAGACATAGCCTATTTAAAACAAGTTTTTATTAGAATTATATACTGTATTTTTAGGCGTTATCAATAGCCTGTAGTGAATGTAATCTTGCTTATTGACTACGTTTGTCCAGAATGCAATTTATAGTAGGCCTAGCCCCTATAACTGAGTGAACACCATAGCCTATGTTTAACAATGTATTTACATATTGAAGCTATGCAATTAGAACAGTGTGGACTGCAAACACATTCAAAACATTTAGCAAATATGGGGCAGGCTATTTAACGAACTAGGCTATAATGGACTGACATTCAAATTGGAGTTGATGACAAGGTAATACATAAAATACCTAAATATACTTGAAGCAACCACATATTTAGCCATGAAGAACGTTCTGATTGGCCAGTGAGGGGCGAAGCATTGACCACACCCACAACTTGTTTACTCATCAAAAGCCAGCCCTTTCGCACCACCGCCAGCTATACGCCCGTAATTCCGGTTGTGAAAATGAAAAATATATTTCGGACACAGAACCTATACTGCTACCACCTGCGCTAAGATTTATTAATGCGTTAGGTTTGTTAAAATAGAGCCCCTTATGTCTGAAGTCTAATATGCCTCTTGTTGCCTCTTTCTCCCTCTGCCTTACATGGCATCCTTAGCTCTGTTGAGCAGCTCCTTGGCCTGGTGGAGTTGCTGGGAGGTGTGGTTGAAGACCCGCTGTACATCTGTCAGATTGCTGATGTTGTCTTTGATCTGCTGGACCACAGTGTCCAGGGTGGTTCTGTTCACAGGCAGAGATATAGCCAGCACTTGCTGAGCCACCTTCTCTATGCTCTCTGGGTCCGCACCCTCCTCTGTACACAACACACAGTGGAGAAGAACCATGATCAAATTAATATCATAAGAACTGTCCAAAGAGATATGTATATACACTACCATTCAAAAGTTTGAGGTCACATTGAAATTCTTGCTTTCCATGAAAACATACCTGAAATGAGTTTGAATAGGAAATATAGCTAAATGAATAGGACATGTAGTCATTGACAAGGTTAGAAATAATGATTTTTAATTGAAATAATAATTGTGTCCTTCAAACTTTGCTTTCGTCAAAGAATCCTACATTTGCAGCAATTACAGCCTTGCAGACCTTTGGCATTCTAGTTGTCAATTTGTTGAGGTAATCTGAAGAGATTTCACCCCATGCTTCCTGAAGCACCTCCCACAAGTTGGATTGGCTTGATGGGTACTTCTTACGTAACATACGGTCAAACTGCTCCCACAACAGCTCAATAGGGTTGAGATCCGGTGACTGTGCTGGCCACTCCATTATAGACAGAATACCAGCTGACTGCTTCTTCCCTAAATAGTTCTTGCATAATTTGGAGCTGTGCTTTGGGTCATTGTCCTGTTGTAGGAGGAAATTAGCTCCAATCAAGCGTCGTCCACTGGGTATGGCATGGCGTTGCAAAATGGAGTGATAGCCTTCCTTCTTCAAGATCCCTTTTTACCCTGTACCTATCTCCCACTTTACCACCACCAAAGCACCCCCATACCATCACATTGCCTCCACCATGCTTGACAGATGGCATCAAGCACTCCTCCAGCATCTTTTCATTTGGTCTGCGTCTCACAAATGTTATTCTTTGTGATCTGAACACCTCAAACTTCGATTTGTCTATCCATAACACTTTTTTCCAATCTTCCTCTGTCCAGTGTCTGTGTTCTTTTGCCCATCTTAATATTTTCTTTTTATTGGCCAGTCTGAGATATGGCTTTTTCTTTGCAACTCTGCCAGAAGGTCAGCATCCCGGAGTCGCCTCTTCACTGTTGACGTTGAGACTGGTGTTTTGCGGGTACTATTTAATGAAGCTGCCAGTTGAGGACCTGTGAGGCATCTGTTTCTCAAACTAGACACTAATGTATTTGTCCTCTTGCTCAGTTGTGCACTGGGGCCTCCCACTCCTCTTTCTATTCTGGTTAGAGCCAGTTTGCGCTGTTCTGTGAAGGGAGTAGCACACAGCGTTGTACGAGCTCTTCAGTTTCTTGGCAATTTCTCGCATGGAATAGCCTTCATTTCTCAGAACAAGAATAGACTGATGAGTTTCAGAAGAAAGTTATTTGATTCTGGCCATTTTGAGCCTGTAATCGAACCCACAATTGTTGATGCTCCAGTTACTCAACTAGTCTCAAGAAGGCTAGTTCTATTGCTTCTTTAATCAGCACAACAGTTTTCAGCTGTGCTAACATAACTGCAAAAGGTTTTTCTAATGATCAATTAGCCTTTTAAAATAATACACTTGGATTAGAAAACACAACGTGCCATTGGAACACATGACTGATGGTTGCTGATAATGGGCCTCGTTTCCAGCTACAATAGCCATTTACAACATTAACAATGTCTACACTGTATTTCTGATCAATTTGATGTTATTTTAATTGACAAAAAAATTGCTTTTCTTTCGGAAACAATAACATTTCTAAGTTACCCCAAACCTTTGAACGGTAGTGTTTATATATTTTTTTATAAGAACTTTTCTGGAAGGTTAATGGCATTAACAAACCAGTCAGGAAATCTTTGATCTTCTGAATGAATTCCTTGAGTTTCTTATTGGAGTTTTCAAAGAAGTCCTTATTCTTCTTGGCTTTCTCCAAGGTGTCCATGGCTTGACTCTTAACGTCCTGGGTCAGCATAGCAATGTCATGGAGCTGGAAACACAACATGGGTGATTACTGAAAAATAAACTGCATATGGAATACTATATACAAAACATGCTGTGCTTAGACTCACAAAGACACTGAGAAACATATAATACAACCCCTTTTAGGTAACTTCAACAGCAGGTTTTGCTCAGTGATTCAGCTTATATTGAGATACATGCATGCAGAGGTATAGTTAGTACATATAAGAGAGTGAGGCAGATGTACCTTCTTCGCCATGCCCTGGAGATCTTCACTGGCAACAGTCAGGTTGTCTGTGACATCATTGGCGTGTTTCAGTCCCTTAAGGGAGGCGCTCACAGTCCCCTTACACGCGTCCCCTCCACACACCCGCTGACCGCCATCGTCACGACAACCAGCACCCCCACACGGGCTGTCGTGACATGTGCCATTCGAGCTGGTGTTGGAATGAGCACCACATACCTGGAGGAAAAACACACAAAACAGGTAGGGTCAGAGTCCGACACAGACAAAGGGCTATGGGTCACACATCCAGGGAAGGGATGGTGTAACATTTATTACAATTTGAAATCAACACATCATGACAGGTATGTCTGCCAATTAGCTCTACGTGACAGACAGGGATGACCATCCTGCTAATCAAACTTTTTATAGAACCAACCCTTTACAACAAAACACAGACAAGAGGATTGTTTCTGCTGACTGTTAGGCATTGTCCTCGCAGCACTATCTATAACTACACCGACCCAAAACAAGCTTCCCTTTAGAATACAGAGTAGACCCCACTATATTGTCCCCTCTATACCTTGTGGCTCAGGTGGTGGACTTTCTTGTCCACATCCTGGGCTTTGTCCTGTAGCTCTGACAATGATTTCTTCTGGGCTGCCACGGTACGCAGGAACTTATCCCGCCTCATGTTCAGAAGGTCCTCAGTGTGTGTACGTGTGGCTTTAGACTCCTCCACGGGGTTGAAGGGACCGGACATTGAGGCGTTGCACTTCTGTTGAGCCTCCTGGGACCCACGGTAGTACTTATTCACATTGTCAAACTGATCTGGGATGGAGAGGAGGACCAGGGCAAAACAAATCAGTGAAAGAGACTAAAAACGAGGAGAGGCTGTATGTGTCTGTGTGTCTGTGTGTATCTACAGTGAGGGAAAAAAGTATTTGATCCCCTGCTGATTTTGTACGTTTGCCCACTGACAAAGAAATGATCAGTCTATAATTTTAATGGTAGGTTTATTTGAACAGTGAGACAGAATAACAACAACAAAATCCAGAAAAATGCATGTCAAAATTTTTATAAATTGATTAGCATTTTAATGAGGGAAATAAGTATTTGACCCCCTCTCAATCAGAAAGATTTCTGGCTCCCAGGTGTCTTTTACACAGGTAACAAGCTGAAATTAGGAGGACACTCTTAAAGGGAGTGCTCCTAATCTCAGCTTGTTACCTGTATAAAAGACACCTGTCCACAGAAGCAATCAATCAATCAGATTCCAAACTCTCCACCATGGCCAAGACCAAAGAGCTCTCCAAGGATGTCAGGGACAAGATTGTAAACCTACACAAGGCTGGAATGGGCTACAAGACCATCGCCAAGCAGCTTGGTGAGAAGGTGACAACAGTTGGTGCGATTATTCGCAAATGGAAGAAACACAAAAGAACTGTCAATCTCCCTCGGTCTGGGGCTCCATGCAAGATCTCACCTCGTGGAGTTGCAATGATCATGAGAACGGTGAGGAATCAGCCCAGAACTACACAGGAGGATATTGTCAATGATCTCAAGGCAGCTGGGACCATAGTCACCAAGAAAACAATTGGTAACACACTACGCCGTGAAGGACTGAAATCCTGCAGCGCCCGCAAGGTCCCCCTGCTCAAGAAAGCACATATACAGGCCCGTCTGAAGTTTGCCAATGAACATCTGAATGATTCAGAGGAGAACTGGGTGAAAGTGTTGTGGTCAGATGAGACCAAAAACGAGCTCTTTGGCATCAACTCAACTCGCCGTGTTTGGAGGAGGAGGAATGCTGCCTATGACCCCAAGAACACCATCCCCACCATCAAACATGGAGGTGGAAACATTATGCTTTGGGGGTGTTTTTCTGCTAAGGGGACAGGACAACTTCACTGCATCAAAGGGACGATGGACGGGGCCATGTACTGTCAAATCTTGGGTGAGAACCTCCTTCCCTCAGCCAGGGCATTGAAAATGGGTCGTGGATGGGTATTCCAGCATGACAATGACCCAAAACACATGGCCAAGGCAACAAAGGAGTGGCTCAAGAAGAAGCACATTAAGGTCCTGGAGTGGCCTAGCCAGTCTCCAGACCTTAATCCCATAGAAAATCTGTGGAGGGAGCTGAAGGTTCGAGTTGCCAAACGTCAGCCTCAAAACCTTAATGACTTGGAGAAGATCTGCAAAGAGGAGTGGGACAAAATCCCTCCTGAGATCTGTGCAAACCTGGTGGCCAACTATAACAAACGTCTGACCTCTGTGATTGCCAACAAGTGTTTTGCCACCAAGTACTAAGTCATGTTTTGCAGAGGGGTCAAATACTTATTTCCCTCATTAAAATGCAAATAAATTTATAACATTTTTGACATGCGATTTTCTGGATTGTTTTGTTGTTATTCTGTCTCTCACTGTTCAAATAAACCTACCATTAAAATTATAGACTGATCATGTCTTTGTCAGTGGGCAAATGTACAAAATCAGCAGGGGATCAAATACTTTTTTCCCTCACTGTATGTGTGTCTATGTGTGTCTGTGTGTCTGTGTGTCTGTGTGTCTATGTGTGTGTATGTGTGTCTGTGTGTGTCTGTGTGTGTGTGTGTGTGTGTGTCTATGTGTCTGTGTGTGTCTGTGTGTGTCTGTGTGTGTATGTGTCAATGTGTCTATGTGTGTATGTGTCTATGTGTATGTGTGTCTATGTGTGTATGTGTCTATGTGTGTATGTGTCTATGTGTGTATGTGTCTATGTGTGTATGTGTCTATGTGTGTTTGTGTCTATGTGTGTGTGTGTGTGTGTGTGTATGTGTCCATGTGTGTCCATGTGTGTCCATGTGTGTCTATGTGTGTCCATGTGTGTCCATGTGTGTCTATGTGTGTCCATGTGTGTCTGTGTGTGTGTGTGTGTGTCTATGTGTTTCTATGTGTATGTGTGTATGTGTGTATGTGTCTATGTGTCTATGTGTGTGTGTGTGTGTGTGTGTGTGTGTGTGTATGTGTCCATGTGTGTCCATGTGTGTCCATGTGTGTCCATGTGTGTCCATGTGTGTCCATGTGTGTCTGTGTGTGTGTGTGTGTGTCTATGTGTGTCTATGTGTATGTGTGTATGTGTGTATGTGTCTATGTGTCTATGTGTGAGTACCTATACATGTGCACTCAATCTTACTGTACAGGTGTGTGTGTTTTGAGGTCTAGGGGGAGGTGCTACCTTGGAAGCCGGAGCTGAGGTTGTTCCTCCGTTCTTGGTGGCGGTGCACCAGGGTGATGTTAAGGTCCCTGAGTTCTCTCTCCATCTGGGTCAGGTTCCTCCTCAGTACCTCATCCTGCACCGCTGTCCCATTCAGCTCCCGTGCCACACCCATCAGACGGCCGTCAGTCAGGGCTATCTCCGCCCTGGATACACCACAGAGACGCACGAGAGACCTCTGAGCACAATTCTCAGTAGGTATTGTTCATTTCACACACTATCCTGTTCTACGTGTATAATTGTTGTGTGACTTGGTTTCAATAAGCACAGCTGCCCCCTCTGGCAATATTTGCATGAGAGGGTTTAGCTGTTCTACACTGCTCCTCTGTAGCTTTAGTTGGTAGAGCATGGCGCTTGCAACACCAGGATAGTGGGTTCAATTCCTGGGACCACCCATATGTACAAAATGTATGTACGCATAAAAGCGTCTGTTAAATGTCATATATTACTATGAAATGTTTGGTGAATGAACGGTCCACCTACAGTACAGGGGAGTATGATGCTTTTACCTCAGGTCATCGATGGACTGGCCAATCAGCTGGTGTAGTCTGTCCCGGTCTCCGTCTCGGATCAGGTCCTGTACCCGGGCCAGTTTATTCTCCAGCTCGTGGATGGGTTTGTCTCCCAGGCCGGGAGTCTCTCCGCTCTCCAGGATCCTCTGGATGTCGTGACGGATGTGGTCCAGGTCCCGGCGGATCGTACACACCGCGTCGTCCCACAGCTCGAAGCAGGGGTGGCACCGGACACACTCAGGGAAGGCCCCGGTGAAGCCGCGGTCACACTCGTCACACACCGTCGTCCCGCCGTCCCCTCCCTGCACTCACACGCCCCCGTCACACGGTCACACTGAGCCGACTCCGAGCCCAGCGGCTGACACTTACACTCTGACGGAAGATGGAGAGGGGGAGATGGGGGAGAGAGATGGAGAGGGGGAGATGGGGGAGAGATGGAGAGGGGGAGATTGGGGAAGAGATGGCGAGAGAGAGGTGGAAGAGGGGAGATGGGGGAGAGAGATGGAGAGGGGGAGTTGGGGGAAGGGGGGTTGGAGAGGGAGAGGGGTCCTTGGTGGGCGGGTTGCGGGTCGAGGGGGGCTTGGTGGCTGTATTGGGGAAGCTTGGTGCTGGCTCGTTCGCTGTGGGTGGGCTTGTGGCCGCTGGGTCTCTGTGGGACGACTGGGCGCGGTGGTGGTTCGCGCTGGCTCGTGGCGCTGGTGCCTTGCGCGGGGCGCGGTGGCTAGTCTGGGCGGGGGCGCTTGGGAGGGGGCGCTGGGGCCGGGCTGTCTCGGGGGCGCGGGCTGGGGGCGCTGGGGCGAGCCCACCCCTGAAGTTCGTGGATATGAATGGGTCCTATATACAGTACAGACTGTCATTTTGAACACAGAATTAAAGATAGACTTTGAAAACCTAATTGAACTGTGACATTTCTAACATTCAATTACCTTCACACTGCACTCGTGGGTCTCCCCAATGAAACTGCTCACACTCAGTGCACTGCCTTCCCCCAAAGCCTTGCCGACAGTGACACTGTCCACTGAACTACAGACAGACAGACAAGGAGAGAGAGATGTATCATCAAAGCTATTCAATTAAACTGATAAGGTAAAGTACACTAAACAAAAGCCTTTCACAACTATGAGGCCTACCATGTTGCAGTGGGATCCCACAGCGTGCTGAGGGTGGCAGGCACACTGCTCACACCCTCTGTCTGTGCCATAGTTCCAGTGGTTGGGGGCACACTGGTCACAGTTGTGCCCGACCACATTGTCCCGACACGGGCATGCTCCTGTCTGTCTGTCACAGTGGCAATGGCCATCGCTGCAGTAGGACTGTTGTGTACCTGCTGTTACACATGTGCAACCTGCAGATGGAATAAGATAAACATATCAGACACAATACAGCACACAGTCACACACAGAGCAGACATAGACAAGAACGGCAGCGTGACACATATCATCACAAATACCAATTGTTTGTCTCCAGCGGGCATGACCAGTCCCTTACATAACTTAAGAAAATGCAGAGACAGAACTCATTAGAGATTCAACCATCCATTATCATGTAACAACTCACGCCTGCAGTCCTGGGCCAGAGCGTTGCCGTAGTAACCATGTTTACAGTCAGAGCAGGAGGGGCCATCCGTGTTGTATAGGCAGCTCAGGCATTGGCCGGTCCTGGGGTCACATGACTCGGGGTCCTGGGTGTCGATGTTGCCACTGCACTGGCACGGGTGGCACTGCCCACCTGGATGCTCGGGGTTGCCATAGTAACCAGGGGCACACCGATCACAGCGAGGCCCTAGCGTGGGGAAAAGAGTGTGAAAGGGGTCAGGCTTAGGCTGAAAAGTGAAATGCCAATAAGTGTAGATAGGATTTCCTTTTTAGTGAGCTAAACTGTATCATTGGGACTCTACCTGTGTAGCCCTGTTTACAGTTGCAGAGGATTTGATTGGATGAGCTTTCAGCATGACAGGAGTCTCCGTTGGAATGTCCGCTTCCTGGGTTCCCAGGACAGGGACAATGTCGACAGTGATCCCCAGACCCCAGCACTGGGTTTCCAAAGAACCCATTCACACACCTGGGCAGGGAGAGAAATAACATATTTAATGTATTTATTATGGTACACTACCGATCACAATATTATATATTGGACTATTACCGATCACTACCTGATCCAACAGCACCAAAACACTAACCAAAACGCTGTCACCAACACCATTTACGAATCACTGTATATCCCCCCTGCCCACCTTTCACAGTGCTGTCCATCAGCGTAGTCCCTGCAGGCCTGGCACTCCCCTGTCTGTGAGTTGCAGTCATCAGCGTGACCGTTACACTGGCATGGCCTGCAGCTGGGGAAGCCCCACTGGCCAGGCTGGCAGTCTGAGCACTGGCGCCCGCTGGCCCCCTGTCTGCACGGGCACTGCCCCATCACTGGGTCACACTGGTGCCCCAGAGAGCCCTGGGAGTGGCAGTCACAGGCTGGGGAGGGAGGGAGGGAGAAGGAGGAGGATGAAGGGGAGGAGAGGAGGAGGAGGAGGAGGGGAGAGGGAGAGGGTGGGGTGTTTAATGGAGTGAGGTATGAGGAGGTTTATGTTCGTTGATGTCTTGGAGTAAGCTTCTCTGGAGATGCGACGACCCTTCTGAGCTTACGTCCCATCTTACATCGGGAGTGGGACATATTTTAGGATTGTGGTTTTGTGAGGTCATCCAGTGTATGACACACCTGCTATATAATGTCAACTAAATAAAGATGTGATGACTGGCTAAAAGATGCCAGTGCTCACTCACCTGTGCAGCCATATGGTCCGAAGCCATAAGTGTCAGGTGCGCACTGGTCACACCGTCTTCCAATCACGTTGGGTTTACAGCGGCACTGACCTCCGACCCTGTCACACTCAGCACTGAGAGACCCCTGGGGGTCGCACTGACATTCTACAGGGAAAATGAGAGAGTCTTCAATCAAACAAGTCATGGATGATATCCTATGGTGATGACTGAGTGTAACAATTCCATCCAACTCATACCATGCATTACTGATCATAGTGCTGCTTGCTAGAGTTTATTGGTAAGTAAAATTATTCAATAGTTGGACCAGGAAGTATTTGACACCCAGTATTCGATAACAAGGCATTAATGGAGGCTTTGACCTTTGACACCTGATCCCCTAGTGAATGATGTATGGTAGACTCACGCAGCGCTCTGTCGTGCAGGATGGCAGAGATGCTGCAGATGAGCTTGGTGCACATCTCTGCCAGCAGGGGCATTGGTGTGGCCATGAAGGAGTCCAGGCACATGTAGCGCACCATCTCATCAAGACGCTCCTCTGCCGCCGGATCGTGACCCTGGAAACCTGGCAGCTCCGTGTACTGGGGGGTCAGCACCAGCTGGGAAGGAGGAATGGAGGGAGGAAACGTAGAAAAATAAAGTGAGTGAGAGGTGGAATTTGGCACCTAAATGCACCTTTGTTTCAGACCACTAGGTGGTGGTATCTGGCCAACAGTTACTATCACAGTGCTGCTGATAGTTCACTCACACACATCGAAAAGGTCAGTTTTCCTTTCTATTTCAACTAAACTCCCTCTCGTGTATGGCTGTCACTCCAGAGCCCTGACATGTTTGATAAGTTGATTGACTCACCGAGTCTACAAGGATGAAAGCTGTCAGGTGTCTCTGGGACACACCGTGGCGCTGGAATCTGATGGCCACGACATAACGGTTACTGGGCTCAAAGCAGAAAGGACTGGGCATCTGGACATACCTGTTGGGTCACACAGAGACATTCTCTTATCAAACATTCTGATATTACATTGTTCTGTTAGGAGTTGTGGAAAAGCCTTATGGCCCTATAAGGTTAAAAGGAAATTAAACCAGCAAAATACAAGTGAAAGAAGTCAAACCTAGCCCCCAAATGTTGCACAGAGTGAAGAGCCTCACTGGCCCAGACACAAACCAGCATAGACACGTACAGTCACTATGCTGAACAAACACACAGGAACAGGATGAAACAGGGAGGTCTGGGAACCCCTGACTGGAACAGAGACAGATGAACCGGGTCTCTGTCAGAGGGCATTTCTCTTCCTGCTCTTCAATAAACACACACACACACACACACACACACACACACACACGCAGTACCACAACTCATCAACTAAAATGTGTGTACAAAACAATCCATTGTGTCTTTTTCCAGATGGGCTTCATTCCATAAACAACTTGTACACAACTCATTTATAACAGGTCTTTGAGATCATGAAGGAAGAGAAAGAGGGGGCTTTCTGCCGCACCACCTCTCCACTCTCTCTACTCTCAACAAACAGAGAGATCCAGTCTACAGCCATTGTAAAGAGTGGGATCCGGTCTACAGCCATTGTAAAGAGTGTGATCCGGTCTACAGCCATTGTAAAGAGTGTGATCCGGTCTACAGCCATTGTAAAGAGTGTGATCCGGTCTACAGCCATTGTAAAGAGTGTGATCCGGTCTACAGCCATTGTAAAGAGTGTGATCCGGTCTACAGCCATTGTACAGAGTGTGATCCGGTCTACAGCCATTATAAAGAGTGTGATCCGGTCTACAGCCATTGTAAAGAGTGTGATCCGGTCTACAGCCATTGTAAAGAGTGTGATCCGGTCTACAGCCATTGTAAAGAGTGTGATCCGGTCTACAGCCATTGTAAAGAGTGTGATCCAGTCTACAGCCATTGTGAAGAGTGGGATCCGGTCTACAGCCATTGTAAAGAGTGTGATCCGGTCTACAGCCATTGTAAAGAGTGTGATCCTGTCTACAGCCATTGTACAGAGTGTGATCCGGTCTACAGCCATTGTAAAGAGTGTGATCCAGTCTACAGCCATTGTAAAGAGTGTGATCCAGTCTAGAGCCATTGTGAAGAGTGGGATCCGGTCTACAGCCATTGTAAAGAGTGTGATCCGTTCTACGGCCATTGTAAAGAGTGTGATCCAGTCTACAGCCATTGTAAAGAGTGTGATCCTGTCTACAGCCATTGTACAGAGTGTGATCCGGTCTACAGCCATTGTACAGAGTGTGATCCGGTCTACAGCCATTATAAAGAGTGTGATCCGGTCTACAGCCATTGTAAAGAGTGTGATCCGGTCTACAGCCATTGTAAAGAGTGTGATCCGGTCTACAGCCATTGTAAAGAGTGTGATCCGGTCTACAGCCATTGTAAAGAGTGTGATCCAGTCTACAGCCATTGTGAGGAGTGGGATCCGGTCTACAGCCATTGTAAAGAGTGTGATCCGGTCTACAGCCATTGTAAAGAGTGTGATCCGGTCTACAGCCATTGTAAAGAGTGTGATCCGGTCTACAGCCATTGTAAAGAGTGTGATCCGGTCTACAGCCATTATAAAGAGTGTGATCCGGTCTACAGCCATTGTAAAGAGTGTGATCCGGTCTACAGCCATTGTAAAGAGTGTGATCCGGTCTACAGCCATTGTAAAGAGTGTGATCCGGTCTACAGCCATTGTAAAGAGTGTGATCCAGTCTACAGCCATTGTATGCCTGGTGCTCTCCTTGTGCGCTCCCTCTGCCCTGGCATCCTGTCTAACTTCTGACTCGCTGTGTGTGTGTTTTGGGTCGCTTTGCTAATTGGTTCTGCCTGAGATGCCAATCACGGAGCAGAACAGCAGGGGGAGCCAGGGTCCAGTGAGCCAGTCAGATCCGGGCTGGGACCGTTGGAACTCTTTGTTATACACAAGTTCATTCTTAGGGAAGTTTCTTGACATGTATAGGTTGGTTGACCTGAGAATAGCCCAGGTACAGACTATACAAGGCAGTTATCATGGCGTGCTGGAAAAGGAGGGGAAGGGTTATGCTGGAAAGTCTCCACACGGTGATAGTTGACAGTCAGAGAGAATGAGTGTGGACAAAGAGCATGCTGCAGGACAGGCAAACACACGGCAGGTAACACCTTGTAAAGACGACTGTGGCGGCAGGGCTAGTGTTTCTCAGAGCAAAGTTAAAGGGAAGGAGCACAACATCTTTACTGCTGATAGCAAACAGTATATATTAGCTGTAATGAAAGTACATGCTCACCGAACAGTATTCCCTTAAAGGCCCCCCCCTCCTGGTTAAACATGCTCTCCTAACAGTATTCCCTTAAAGCCCCCCCCCCCCCCCCCCCCCCCTCCTGCATGCTGCAGGACAGGCAAACACACGGCAGGTAACACCTTGTAAAGACGACTGTGGCGGCAGGGCTAGTGTTTCTCAGAGCAAAGTTAAAGGGAAGGAGCACAACATCTTTACTGCTGATAGCAAACAGTATATATTAGCTGTAATGAAAGTACATGCTCACCGAACAGTATTCCCTTAAAGGCCCCCCCCTCCTGGTTAAACATGCTCTCCTAACAGTATTCCCTTAAAGCCCCCCCCCCCCCCCCCCCCCCCTCCTGGTTAAACATGCTCTCCTAACAGTATTCTCTTAAAGGCCCCCCCCTCCTGGTTAAACATGCTCTCCTAACAGTATTCCCTTAAAGGCCCCCCCCCTCCTGGTTAAACATGCTCTCCTAACAGTATTCCCTTAAAGGCCCTCCCCCCTCCTGGTTAAACATGCTCTCCTAACAGTATTCCCTTAAAGGCCCCCCCCTCCTGGTTAAACATGCTCTCCTAACAGTATTCCCTTAAAGCCCCCCCCCCCCCCCCCCTCCTGGTTAAACATGCTCTCCTAACAGAATTCCCTTAAAGGCCCCCCCCTCCTGGTTAAACATGCTCTCCTAACAGTATTCTCTTTAAGGCCCCCCCCCTCCTGGTTAAACATGCTCTCCTAACAGTATTCCCTTTAAGGCCCCCCCCTCCTGGTTAAACATGCTCTCCTAACAGTATTCCCTTAAAGGCCCCCCCCTCCTGGTTAAACATGCTCTCCTAACAGTATTCCTTAAAGCCCCCCCCCCCCCCCCCCTCCTGGTTAAACATGCTCTCCTAACAGTATTCCCTTAAAGGCCCCCCCTCCTGGTTAAACATGCTCTCCTAACAGTATTCTCTTTAAGGCCCCCCCCTCCTGGTTAAACATGCTCTCCTAACAGTATTCCCTTTAAGGCCCCCCCTCCTGGTTAAACATGCTCTCCTAACAGTATTCTCTTTAAGGCCCCCCCCGGGTGGACGCTCATTGTGAACAGCCATACACACAGGGAAAATGTTCACAGTCAAATCACTCAATAATGCTTTAACTTTTGGCAAGCTTTTATCTTAACCATCTGTGATCTCAAGCAGACGCTTAGCTCAATAAATCTAAAACAATCTAAATTAACCTACAGTAACTTGCTCTCACTCAGACTGGGCGTTTTCAAGGTTCCTCAATCTCAACACACTATCCATGACCTTATCAGAATAATATTCTCTCACACCCAGAGCTAAGCTACAGGACACTGTCTCCTATTTCTGTATCATATAATAAAGTGGGATATCCAACACATTTTAGGAATGGCATGAAATCCTTAGTAATCAGTTGATCAGCTGGATAGTAAATATTGCTAGAAGGTTTGATAATATAATAGGAGTCACTGTTAAATTTATACATGAGATTATTCAAGAGACCACACATATACTGACATACAGGTTTGTACACATTAACGACACATATATGGGAAACATATCTATTAAAACCTATACTAAAACACACACACACTCTCTCACACACACATGCACACGTACACACACATTTTACATTTGAGTTATTAAGCAGACGCTCTTATCCACACACGAACACACACACACACACACACACACACACACACACAGAGACACACACACACAGACACACACAGAGACAGACACACACAGACACACACCTGTGGTGTGGCAGGGTGACTGTATAGAGCTGTTCAGTAGGCAGGAGGTTAGGGTTAGGGTTAGGGTTAGGGTTAGGGTTAGGGTTAGGGTTGGGGTTGGGGTTGGGGTTAGGGTTGGGGTTGGTTCTATCAGTAGTACCTCCTGTGGTGTGGCAGGGTGACTGTATCGAGCTGTTCAGTAGGCAGGAGGTTAGGGTTAGGGTTGGGGTTGGGTTGGGGTTGGGGTTAGGGTTAGGGTTAGGGTTAGGGTTGGGGTTGGGGTTAGGGTTAGGGTTGGTTTTATCAGTATTACCTCCTGTGGTGTGGCAGGGTGACTGTATCGAGCTGTTCAGTAGGCAGGAGGTTAGGGTTAGGGTTAGGGTTAGGGTTAGGGTTAGGGTTAGGGTTAGGGTTAGGGTTAGGGTTGGGGTTGGGGTTGGGGTTAGGGTTGGGGTTGGTTCTATCAGTAGTACCTCCTGTGGTGTGGCAGGGTGACTGTATCGAGCTGTTCAGTAGGCAGGAGGTTAGGGTTAGGGTTGGGGTTAGGATTGGGGTTGGGGTTAGGGTTGGCTCTATCAGTAGTACCTCCTGTGGTGTGGCAGGGTGACTGTTTCGAGCTGTTCAGTAGGCAGGAGGTTAGGGTTGGGGTTAGGGTTAGGGTTGGTTCTATCAGTTTTACCTCCTGTGGTGTGGCAGGGTGACTGTATCGAGCTGTTCAGTAGGCAGGAAGTTAGGGTCAGGGTTAGGGTTAGGGTTGGGGTTAGGGTTAGGGTTGGTTTTATCAGTATTACCTCCTGTGGTGTGGCAGGGTGACTGTATCGAGCTGTTCAGTAGGCAGGAGGTTAGGGTTAGGGTTAGGGTTAGGGTTAGGGTTAGGGTTAGGGTTAGGGTTAGGGTTGGGGTTGGGGTTGGGGTTAGGGTTGGGGTTGGTTCTATCAGTAGTACCTCCTGTGGTGTGGCAGGGTGACTGTATCGAGCTGTTCAGTAGGCAGGAGGTTAGGGTTAGGGTTGGGGTTAGGGTTGGGGTTGGGGTTAGGGTTGGCTCTATCAGTAGTACCTCCTGTGGTGTGGCAGGGTGACTGTTTCGAGCTGTTCAGTAGGCAGGAGGTTAGGGTTGGGGTTAGGGTTAGGGTTGGTTCTATCAGTTTTACCTCCTGTGGTGTGGCAGGGTGACTGTATCGAGCTGTTCAGTAGGCAGGAAGTTAGGGTCAGGGTTAGGGTTAGGGTTGGGGTTAGGGTTAGGGTTGGTTTTATCAGTATTACCTCCTGTGGTGTGGCAGGGTGACTGTATAGAGCTGTTCAGTAGGCAGGAGGTTAGGGTTAGGGTTAGGCTTAGGGTTAGGGTTGGTTTTATCAGTATTACCTCCTGTGGTGTGGCAGGGTGACTGTATCGAGCTGTTCAGTAGGCAGGAGGTTAGGGTTAGGGTTAGGGTTAGGGTTAGGGTTAGGGTTAGGGTTGGGGTTGGGGTTGGGGTTAGGGTTAGGGTTGGTTTTATCAGTATTACCTCCTGTGGTGTGGCAGGGTGACTGTATAGAGCTGTTCAGTAGGCAGCAGGTTGCCACAGCGGGAGCTAGACGGTAGCAGCTGGGAGGTAACGCTCACTATGGCCTCCCAGTCTTCTGTAGACTACAAACACACACACACACACAACAGGCAGTGTTTTAAAGGGTGGTAACAGCATTGGTTCCACACTGTTACATTGTTATCATATGTCCAACTCTCCAGCAGAGACAGAAAGGAGAGAGACAACATTTACATTTCTGCGATTGTCAATGTGTTACAAATACAGACTTATTTAAGGGTCTTCCAAAGTGTAATACTCTACATTGGGTTGGCCTGGTATTACCGTACAGCAGCAGTGCAATGTGGGGAAGACATGAAGCATGCTGTACCTCTGGCTCATAGCGGATCGTGATGTCATAGTCCATGGCATGGGGGATGTTGTCTATGGTGAAGACCAGTCCAGCTCCATCTTTGACCCGGGCAAAACCAGGTCCAGTCCAGGTGACCATGTGACCCTGGGATCTCTCCCTGTGGACACTCCTCACATCCGGCTGGAAAACACAGAGGATGACCCTTTAACACGACACACTAAAAACACACTAAACACACGTCACAGACACACTAAACACACTAAACACACGTTACAGAAACACTAAACACACTAAACACACTAAACACACTAAACACACGTCACAGACACACTAAACACACTAAACACACTAAACACACGTTACAGAAACACTAAACACACGTCACAGACACACTAAACGCACGTCACAGACACACTAAAAACACACTAAAAACACGTCACAGACACACTAAAAAAACACTAAACACACGTGACAGACACAGTAAACACACTAAACACACGTCACAGACACACTAAACACACTAAACACATGTCACAGACACACTAAACACACGTCACAGACACACTAAAAACACACTAAACACACGTCACAGACACACTAAAAAAAACACTAAACACACGTCACAGACACACTAAACCACACTAAACACAACGTCACAGACACACTAAACACACTAAACACATGTCACAGACACACTAAACACACGTCACAGACACACTAAAAACACACTAAACACACGTCACAGACACACTAAAAAAACACTAAACACACGTCACAGACACACTAAACACACTAAACACACGTCACAGACACACTAAACACACTAAACACATGTCACAGACACACTAAACACACGTCACAGACACACTAAACACATGTCACAGACACACTAAACAAACATCACATACACACTAAACACACTAAACACACGTCACAGACACACTAAACACACTAAACACATGTCACAGACACACTAAACACACGTCAGAGACACACTAAACACACTAAACACACGTCACAGACACACTAAACACACTAAACAAACATCACAGACACACTAAACACACGAAACACACGTCACAGACACACTAAACACACGTCAGAGACACACTAAACACACTAAACACATGTCAGAGACACACTAAACACACTAAACACACGTCACAGACACACTAAACACACTAAACAAACATCACAGACACACTAAACACACTAAACAAACATCACAGACACACTAAACACACTAAACACACGTCACAGACACACTAAACACACGTCAGAGACACACATTTACATTACATTTACATTTACGTCATTTAGCAGACGCTCTTATCCAGAGCGACTTACAAATAGGTGCATTCACCCTATAGCCAGTGGGATAACCACTTTACAATATGTATTTTTTTTTTTTTTTTTTTGGGGGGGGGCGGGGGGGTAGAAGGATTACTTTATCCTATCCCAGGTATTCCTTAAAGAGGAACACACTAAACACACTAAACACACGTCACAGACACACTAAACACACGAAACACACGTCACAGACACACTAAACACACGAAACACATGTCACAGACACACTAAACACACTAAACACACATCACAGACACACTAAACACACAAAATACACGTCACAGACACACTAAACACACGTCAGAGACACACTAAACACACGTCAGAGACACACAAAACACACTAAACAAACATCACAGACACACTAAACACACTAAACAAACGTCACAGACACACTAAACACACGAAACACACGTCACAGACACACTAAACACACGAAACACACGTCACAGACACACTAAACACACTAAACACACGTCACAGACACACTAAACACACGTCAGAGACACACTACACACACTAAACACACGTCACAGACACACTAAACACACGAAAGACACGTCACAGACACACTAAACACAAACACGCACAACACACTACAGACACACTAAACACACCAAACACACATCACAGACACACACTAAACACACTAAACACATCACGTCACAGACACACTAAACACACGTCAGAGACACACTAAACACACTCAAACACACAAAACACACTAAACACACTCACACACGACACACTAAACACACTAAACACCAACGTCACAGACACACTAAAACACACTGTCAGAGACACACTAACAACACACTAAAACACACACGTCACAGACACACTAAACACACGAAACACACGTCACAGACACACTAAACACACTAAACACACATCACAGACACACTAAACACACAAAATACACGTCACAGACACACTAAACACACGTCAGAGACACACTAAACACACGAAACACACGTCACAGACACACTAAACACACGAAACACACGTCACAGACACACTAAACACACAAAATACACGTCACAGACACACTAAACACACGTCAGAGACACACTAAACACATGTCAGAGACACACAAAACACACTAAACACACGTCACAGACACACTAAACACACTAAACACACGTCACAGACACACTAAACACACTAAACACACATCACAGACACACAAAACACACAAAATACACGTCACAGACACACTAAACACACGTCAGAGACACACTAAACACATGTCAGAGACACACAAAACACACTAAACAAACATCGCAGACACACTAAACACACAAAACACACGTCACAGACACAAACACATTTACAGATGAATATGAACAAACATGAAAACGCACTCAAAAAAATGCAACAACAAACATAGACATACTATACATGTGATAAAACCTGTTACTATGCCAACTAGTGGAGTGAAAGTTCCAGCTAAAGCATCTGAAACAGCCCTGTTAAGACATCCTGACAGGTCATCAAACCTGAGTGGTGGAGGAGAGAGACTATTCAGGGAGCTGGCTAAACAAACACATTCCTGTATGTACTGTATGGGTGGACTCAGATTCCTCCTGTCAGGCCCTGGTGGCATGCACCCACAGCCTACCCATAGCCTACAGCCACAGCCACAGCCCACCCATAACCCACAGCCCACCCTTAGCCTACAACCCACAGCCCACCCATAGCCTACAGCCCTCCACATAGCCTACAGCCCTCCCCATAGCCTACAGCCCCCCACTAGCCTACAGCCCTCCCCATAGTCTACAGCCCTCCCCATAGCCTACAGCCCTCCCCATAGTCTACAGCCCTCCCCATAGCCTACAGTCTACAGCCCTCCCCATAGCCTACAGCCCTCCCCATAGCCTACAGCCCTCCACATAGCCTACAGACCTCTCCATAGCCTACAGCCCTCCCCATAGCCTACAGCCCTCCCTATAGCCTACAGCCCTCTACATAGCCTACAGCCCCCCTCATAGCCTACAGCCCTCCACATAGCCTACAGCCCTCCCCATAGCCTACAGCCCTCCCTATAGCCTACAGCCCTCTACATAGCCTACAGCCCTCCTCATAGCCTACAGCCCTCCACATAGCCTACAGCCCTCCCCATAGCCTACAGCCCTCCCCATAGTCTACAGCCCTCCACATAGCCTACAGCCTACAGCCCTCCCCATAGCCTACAGCCCTCCCCATAGCCTACAGCCTACAGCCCTCTCCATAGCCTACAGCCCTCTCCATAGCCTACAGCCCTCCCCATAGTCTACAGCCCTCCCCATAGCCTACAGCCTACAGCCCTCCCCATAGCCTACAGCCCTCCCCATAGCCTACAGCCTACAGCCCTCTCCATAGCCTACAGCCCTCTCCATAGCCTACAGCCCTCCACATAGTCTACAGCCTACAGCCCTCTCCATAGCCTACAGCCTACAGCCCTCCCCATAGCCTACAGCCCTCCCCATAGCCTACAGCCTACAGCCCTCTCCATAGCCTACAGCCCTCTCCATAGCCTACAGCCCTCCACATAGTCTACAGCCTACAGCCCTCCACATAGTCTACAGCCCTCCACATAGTCTACAGCCTACAGCCCTCCCCATAGCATACAGCCCTCTCCATAGCCTACAGCCCTCCCCATAGCCTACAGCCCTCCACATATTCAACAGCCTACAGCCCTCTCCATAGCCTACAGCCCTATCTATAGCCTACAGCCCTCCCCATAGCCTACAGCCCTCCACATAGTCTACAGCCTACAGCCCTCTCCATAGCCTACAGCCCTCTCCATAGCCTACAGCCCTCCCCATAGCCTACAGCCTACAGCCCTCCCCATAGCCTACAGCCCTCCCCATAGCCTACAGCCCTCCCCATAGTCTACAGCCCTCTCCATAGCCTACAGCCCTCCCCATAGCCTACAGCCTACAGCCCTCCCCATAGCCTACAGCCCTCCCCATAGCCTACAGCCCTCCCCATAGCCTACAGCCCTCCCCATAGTCTACAGCCCTCCCCATAGCCTACAGCCTACAGCCCTCCCCATAGCCTACAGCCCTCCCCATAGCCTACAGCCCTCTCCATAGCCTACAGCCCTCTCCATAGCCTACAGCCCTCCACATAGCCTACAGCCCTCTCCATAGCCTACAGCCCTCCCCATAGTCTACAGCCTACAGCCCTCCCCATAGCCTACAGCCTACAGCCCTCCCCATAGCCTATAGCCTACAGCCCTCTCCATAGCCTACAGCCCTCCCCATAGTCTACAGCCTACAGCCCTCTCCATAGCCTACAGCCCTCTCCATAGCCTACAGCCCTCCCCATAGCCTACAGCCTACAGCCTACAGCCTACAGCCCTCCCCATAGCCTATAGCCTACAGCCTACCAACCTGACACCTGACTGTTCTATGGAATGTGGAATATGTTTGTGTGGAGAAATTCTCCACTATCTCTACCGTGTGTGTGGGCCACTTTTCACTGGGATTTATCAGCAAAACTTTCTAAGTGCACTAAAACCTAAACTTCCAAAGCTCTCTGTGTGTGATGTAATTCAACCTATATCAAAGACCTTTGCCGTGGTTCAAGGCAAGGGAAGGCAGAGGGAAACATAGAAGTCAGTAACATGTTTATTCATAGAAATTGAATAAATAGATTAGAATATTATAGAATTATATTAATACATACTATTTCTATGGATTTATTTATTTGGAGGGAAGGAACAGGTAGTGTGTTACCGTTTGCTGCAGCTGGCGGATGCGTCTCAGTGCTGCCCTCTGCTGCTGGGCGCTGGCGATGCGTTGATGGCGCCTGTGTCTCCTCAGCTGGTTGTTGAGGTGCTCCACACAGTCGACCTCAGCCTGGGGCCTGGCCTTGCCCTGGGGAGAGGTGGAGGAGAGGACTAGGTCAACTGATTTACTGACTATCGACTAATAGGTAAAGTGTGTCCTGCCTTGCTAGGAGCAGAACAACTGCACATGTTCTTTGACTGGGCTGAAAGTGAGGAAATCACACGGACACATTCATTCTAACAGACAGAGAAAGAGAGAGAGAGAGAGAGAGTGTATGTGAGGGAAAGATGTTGATAGAGATATATTGCTAGAATGTGTGTGTGAGAGAGAGAGGGGCAGAGAGAGCTGTGGCTGTGTGTGTGTGTGTGTGTGTGTGTGTGTGTGTGTGTGTGTGTGTGTGTGTGTGTGTGTGTGTGTGTGTGTGTGTGTGTGTGTGCGTGTGTGTATGTATGTATGTATTTGTGTGGCAGGCAGCACTAATTCTGGCATCTACTCTTTTTCTGGGTCACTTCAGCCCTGAGCCAGTGTCATAGCTCTGAGTGGAGCCTGTCTGTGGTCTAGCTACTGGGCTCTGGTCTGCTCTGTCTGCAGGCCCACTCTAGCTAACACTCAGAACCTATGCTAGCCAACACATGCCTTTCTGCCCTCTGACATACGCAACATTCTGCCACCCTCGTCTAATGCAAGTTCAACCTCAAAAGAGTTCTGTTGCTCAGCAAGAACTGATGCCAAGTCAATAAAAAGAGAGAAAGAGACGCCAGGAAATGAGAAAGAATAATCAGTGTGGTTAGCGCGCGCGCGCGCGCGCGCGAGAGAGAGAGAGAGAGAGAGAGAGAGAGAGAGAGAAGAGAGATAGATAGATAGAGAGAGAAAAGGACAAGACAAAGAGAGAGAGAGAGATATACACATATATATATATATATACATATATATAGCTAGATAGACAGAGAGAGGAGGGACGTAGAGATGAGAGAGAGAGAGGAGAGAGAGGAGAGAGAGACAGAGAGAGAGAGAGAGACAGAGAGAGACAGAGAGGGGGGGAAGTGGTGCTAGAGACAATTATGATTGATATCATTATGATTAGGATTGATATGATTAGGATTAGGATTTATTTCATTATGATTAGGATTGATGTGATTAGGATTAGGTTTGATATAATTATGATCGATAGCACCACATGACCACCACACAACCCTTGACACCATAGTATTATAAATAATGTTTTCAAACGTGCAACATTTTGAAAGTGACAACACATTAACCGTTGACCCTTGACCCATGAGTCCAGCTACTGCATGACCCACCATCCCAGCAGGCCCTGTACTCTGTTCTCACAAAACACAACCGATCAACCCCCTTTACACATTCCTTTTTAATGTAGCTTTGAGTAGAGGATGTTGAGGCTTGCCCTGTGGGAGGTGAGAAGACAGGAGGTATGATATGAGGTAACATAACAGAGGGCTGCTGCCTGCTGTTGTTGTCTCCCTGTCTGTTGTTGTCTCCCTGTCCGAACCCAGGTACAGATAAACCCAGTCAAACACCACAACAGGACCCAGGTACAGATAAAGGCCTCAGATACTGTTCTACACAGCGACTAAGCAGACATACAGTTTCAAATCCACTGAGAATGACCTTGAATAGAAAATAATAGAGTGAAATGACCTGAAGTTAACAACTTGTGTACCAGATCAAACATGAAAAGGTTTAGTCTGAAACCATATGTCTCATAGATAAAGAATTGCACGGTCGGATAGTATATCAGTGGAAGGTGCTTACTTAGACACATTGTTTAAAGCACAAGACATTTCACTTCCTAAAATATCTCCAGAGCAAGACTAAACATCGTCCAAGGATTCTACATTCATCAATGTAGCAGGTGGGAGCTGTGATCAGCAAAGTATGTTTGTAAGGACTAAATTCACACTAGACTATACTCAAATGTCATCAACCGTATGAATGGTGCCCTAGTGGACAGCTTTTCTGTTTGTACTGTGTATGCTCACCGGAAGGTTGTGGTCACTAGGTGAGTGGCCAACGGCGTCCTCTGCCTCGTATTTGTAGTAGTCCAGCGGGGCACAGAAGTACCCAGGCTGCACGTCAGAACACTGTCGACCAATCAGATTCCTCCGACAGTCACACTGGCCATTTTCAACCATACACCTGCATATACACAGACATACACATAGATGTCATAGTCTCGCTCATTTACAAATCGCGAGTCAACAAACAGTTAAGAAACGTAGACATGTACAGTAATGATAATTTGATTGAATGTAACACCTAGTAATAAAGAACAGTTTCCTATTCAGTGCCATCAATCAAACACACACACACAAGAGATAAGCAATTCTCCTGCAACGTCGGGCGTACCTGTTGCTGTAGGCTCCACCAAAGTCACAGTCACATGCTCTGCAGCCTGCTAGGTCATTACTGAGACCCCAGTACTCTGGCTAAAGGGGAGGGGACACACACATCATGACCACAGCCTCAGAAACTTCCATACAATAATTGCAAGATGAGGCATCAGAAAGGAATAGTGTATAACATGGGACAAACGGTGTGTGAGAAGGTCTACGAAGCGCTCAGGGCCAGTCTTACCAGACACTGGTTGCAGTAGCGGCCTGTGACGTATCTCTTACAGGAGCAGTCCCCGCTGATCTGATCACATGGTGCTCCCAGCATTATAATCCCTCGAGGGTCACAGTTACACGCTGAGGGTAACAAACACACACACACACACACACACACACACATACGGTTTACACCAGGGGTGTCAAATGAGGGGGCCGCATTCGGTCTTCAACGAGGTCCGGAGGGCCACACTGAAAATGTGTTATATTTCCTCGCTGTACAAATTAGCAAAAAATGGTCCTCTATACATCGTTTTGGGAATTTTCGAGACTCCCTGACTGCCTAGCTTTCATTTAGGTGATTATTATCCAGCTGGTCCTTCTACACATTTCTACACAGTTTCGGTTTGGTTTTAGTCATTTTGAAGTATATTGAGTTCATCCCCCCGGCCCCCAAAAAACAATATATTTAAAAAAAAACACACAAGTGCACACACACGCACACACGCACACACACACACTCACGTTGGCAGCCCTGTGGGTCGTTCTGGCTCAGGCCGTAGTATCCCTCCTTGCAGTAGTCACAGCGGGTCCCCTTCACATTCAGCTTACAGCGGCACTGCCCCGCGATCATACTCATGTCCTGGTCTGTGTGGCTGTCACATATACCTCCCTCCATGGAACCCACAGGATCACAGTCACACGCTGGAGACAGAGAGGGAGAACAGGAAGATAGAGAGACAGAGTGGTGTATAGAGAGGACAAGATGGGCAAAGAGTGAGTATTCCATCTACACTGTATAACCAACAACACATAGAGGTATTCAGACAGCAGAACACAAGACTAATGTGTTTTATTCCAGACCCCCTCTACTCACCAGTTCAGACTCCTGGATCTCTGATGTGTTTTATTCCAGACCCCCTCTACTCACCAGTACAGACTCCTGGGTCTCTGATGTGTTTTATTCCAGACCCCCTCTACTCACCAGTACAGACTCCTGGATCTCTGATGTGTTTAATTCCAGACCCCCTCTACTCACCAGTACAGACTCCTGGATCTCTGATGTGTTTTATTCCAGACCCCCTCTACTCACCAGTACAGACTCCTGGATCTCTGATGTGTTTTATTCCAGACCCCCTCTACTCACCAGTACAGACTCCTGGGTCTCTGATGTGTTTTATTCCAGACCCCCTCTACTCACCAGTACAGACTCCTGGGTCTCTGATGTGTTTTATTCCAGACCCCCTCTACTCACCAGTACAGACTCCTGGGTCTCTGATGTGTTTTATTCCAGACCCCCTCTACTCACCAGTACAGACTCCTGGATCTCTGATGTGTTTTATTCCAGACCCCCTCTACTCACCAGTACAGACTCCTGGGTCTCTGATGTGTTTTATTCCAGACCCCCTTTACTCACCAGTACAGACTCCTGGGTCTCTGATGTGTTTTATTCCATACCCCCTCTACTCACCAGTACAGACTCCTGGATCTCTGATGTGTTTTATTCCAGACCCCCTCTACTCACCAGTACAGACTCCTGGATCTCTGATGTGTTTTATTCCAGACCCCCTCTACTCACCAGTACAGACTCCTGGATCTCTGATGTGTTTTATTCCAGACCCCCTCTACTCACCAGTACAGACTCCTGGGTCTCTGATGTGTTTTATTCCAGACCCCCTCTACTCACCAGTACAGACTCCTGGATCTCTGATGTGTTTTATTCCAGACCCCCTCTACTCATCAGTACAGACTCCTGGATCTCTGATGTGTTTTATTCCAGACCCCCTCTCCTCACCAGTACAGACTCCTGGATCTCTGATGTGTTTTATTCCAGACCCCCTCTACTCACCAGTACAGACTCCTGGGTCTCTGATGTGTTTTATTCCAGACCCCCTCTACTCACCAGTACAGACCTCTGGATCTCTGATGTGTTTTATTCCAGACCCCCTCTACTCACCAGTACAGACTCCTGGGTCTCTGATGTGTTTTATTCCAGACCCCCTCTACTCACCAGTACAGACTCCTGGATCTCTGATGTGTTTAATTCCAGACCCCCTCTACTCACCAGTACAGACTCCTGGATCTCTGATGTGTTTTATTCCAGACCCCCTCTACTCACCAGTACAGACTCCTGGATCTCTGATGTGTTTTATTCCAGACCCCCTCTACTCACCAGTACAGACTCCTGGGTCTCTGATGTGTTTTATTCCAGACCCCCTCTACTCACCAGTACAGACTCCTGGGTCTCTGATGTGTTTTATTCCAGACCCCCTCTACTCACCAGTACAGACTCCTGGGTCTCTGATGTGTTTTATTCCAGACCCCCTCTACTCACCAGTACAGACTCCTGGATCTCTGATGTGTTTTATTCCAGACCCCCTCTACTCACCAGTACAGACTCCTGGGTCTCTGATGTGTTTTATTCCAGACCCCCTTTACTCACCAGTACAGACTCCTGGGTCTCTGATGTGTTTTATTCCATACCCCCTCTACTCACCAGTACAGACTCCTGGATCTCTGATGTGTTTTATTCCAGACCCCCTCTACTCACCAGTACAGACTCCTGGATCTCTGATGTGTTTTATTCCAGACCCCCTCTACTCACCAGTACAGACTCCTGGATCTCTGATGTGTTTTATTCCAGACCCCCTCTACTCACCAGTACAGACTCCTGGGTCTCTGATGTGTTTTATTCCAGACCCCCTCTACTCACCAGTACAGACTCCTGGATCTCTGATGTGTTTTATTCCAGACCCCCTCTACTCACCAGTACAGACTCCTGGATCTCTGATGTGTTTTATTCCAGACCCCCTCTACTCACCAGTACAGACTCCTGGGTCTCTGATGTGTTTTATTCCAGACCCCCTCTACTCACCAGTACAGACTCCTGGGTCTCTGATGTGTTTTATTCCAGACCCCCTCTACTCACCAGTACAGACTCCTGGGTCTCTGATGTGTTTTATTCCAGACCCCCTCTACTCACCAGTACAGACTCCTGGGTCTCTGATGTGTTTTTATTCCAGACCCCCTCTACTCACCAGTACAGACTCCTGGATCTCTGATGTGTTTTATTCCAGACCCCCTATACTCACCAGTAAAGACTCCTGGGTCTCTGATGTGTTTTATTCCAGACCCCCTCTACTCACCAGTACAGACTCCTGGATCTCTGATGTGTTTTATTCCAGACCCCCTCTACTCACCAGTAAAGACTCCTGGGTCTCTGATGTGTTTTATTCCAGACCCCCTCTACTCACCAGTACAGACTCCTGGGTCTCTGATGTGTTTTATTCCAGACCCCCTCTACTCACCAGTACAGACTCCTGGATCTCTGATGTGTTTTATTCCAGACCCCCTCTACCCACCAGTACAGACTCCTGGATCTCTGATGTGTTTTATTCCAGACCCCCTCTACTCACCAGTACAGACTCCTGGGTCTCTGATGTGTTTTATTCCAGACCCCCTCTACTCACCAGTACAGACTCCTGGATCTCTGATGTCCCTGCTGGGGTCCTGGTAGTAGAAGGGTTTACACATCTCACAGGTGCGTCCCATGGTGTTGTGGAGACAGTCGTCACAGACGCCACCGTTGGCATTGCCCGTGGACAGGTACACCGCCATGTCAAAGTGACACTGGTTGGAGTGACCGTTACAGTTGCATTCTGGGTAAAGAAACAAAAAATCACAAACATCAGAAATGGTCCTGCGTGTTGTTTCTGCAGCTATGTGTGTAGTGTTCATTCTACATATGGTTTGGGGTTGGATGTTTACATCAACAGATTTCTCCCACTACAAGTGAGTTTGCGTTGTTTTACTACTACCGGTGACTAAAGTGTAGTCTCACCTTTGCATGTGTGAGGGTTGTCGGCCTCGGCTGGGCTCCAGGGCAGGTCATTGTGGAAGTCTCTGCAGTGCTCACAGTTCAACCCCTCAGTGTTGTGTTCGCAAACACATCGCCCATGGATCTGACCAATCACAGCACAAAAAGAAAACATGACAGTTATCATTGTCTCTTGGACATTTTGTTCACAGTCATCTTCATATGCAATGACCATGGGTTCCCACACAGGGACATGTGACGTAAACCAAGGTCTAAAAATAGTTGACTGGACATGACCCACCACGCCCCTGTCCCTCCCACCATGCCTCCGTCCCACCCACCATGCCGTTGTCCCTGGCGTCCACCCCTGGTACGGGGGCACACTCGGAGGCGTGTCCGTAGCAGAAGCAGCTGCCCCTCACCACCAGCTCATACAGGGAGTAGTAGTACTTCTGCAGAACGTCAGAGCGCCGGTCCAGCAGGTTATCTCCCAGGGTGTGCAGCTTGGTGAAATTGATCCGTAGGTTGGTGATCCGCAGCAGCTCTACGGAATAAAAGCGGGTGTTTACATCCATTTGTCATTTTTTGGAATGAATGTCCTACAGAATTTATAATTCATAGGTTACTTTCAGTCGTCCTCTGACTTGTTCTCTGAATTGATCTCATTTCCCAAGTATTTGTCTCACCTTGAATCTCAAGACTGTATGGGTCTTTCACATGTATGGCAGGGTCAAGCACTTTATAAATGACCTGAAAGAGATGAAAAAGTAATAAAGAGATTGAACTAACAGTTCATGAACAGATCCGTTGTAATCATACATTCATATCAATGACTCACCCTCAAATGGACCATCAATACCAGAGTTCTACAATACTATTTACATAATCAACTGGACATTACAACAGCCTGAACCTCAATATAGTCCTGGGCATATATTGAACTCTAACAAAGGGGGATGGAAAGGGTCTGTTGAAATGAATACTGTAGTGGTGTGAGAAAGGTAACACAAGCTTCCTCTCTGGTTCCACTCCCCAACAGTAAGTGGGTCATTTTAAAACACATAAAAAATAAAAAAATAAAAAATGTATATATTTGTTGTTTTATTTATTTATTTGTTGTGTCCTTTATGCTGACAAAATCTAGTCATATGCATTATAGAAAATAATGGGGTCTAGCAAATTGGATTGTCCCAATGGTGATGTGTAGAGGTGTAGTGACATGTTTTGACTAGATAAATAATACAGAAAGAGAAATTGGCTCAGTTAAAATGTTTCTAGTCAAAAATGTATATTTGGGTGCCGTGTTCAAAATACATATTTTGTATTTATATTGCATTTTTTTATTTAACTTTTATATGAACACTGTGATAAAACACAGTGCTAAAGGTTTTAAAACAGAGGCTGCTGTATGCCTGTAGATGACATCACCATAATCAAGCACTGGGAGAAGCGTTGCTTTTACAATATTCCTTCTACTTTCCAAAGTGAAGCAGGATTTATTTAAATAAAATAGTTTTTTGGGGAACTGAGCAAATTATAGGTCTTGTGAGCGGAAACTTGAACACTGTGAGACTTTTGCGCAACTTCCCGCGCGCGTTTACAGTGAACACTGAGGCTGTACCCTTACAGTTCTAGATAGCTTTTTATTTATATGACATAGCCTACAGTAGCCTATATGTGGTGTTCAATGCCGGCCTGCATTGCAGGATACTTTAAAACACATTTTGACATTATGAAGGGCTTGACATGAATTCTTGATTTTTTTACTTGGTTTGTAACACCATGGGCCAAATAGGTAACTGTAAATTGGATTGTGTTGTATGATGCAAGAAACCACTTTACAAAATAATATTTATTATTATTACCATACAGAGAATTAGACAATGTAGGCTACCCCTCTGAGGTGGAAGTTGGGAGAGTTATATTTGGGTGTTTCAGTGAAACGTAAGTGAGGGAGACCCCGCTCTCTCGCTTTCCCAGATGTTTAGTTCATTTCATTCCGATCTCCTTTGCATTATTGTAGTCATTTTCTGTAGCCTGTCAACTATGCCTCTGTCTATCCCTGTTCTCTCCTCTCCGCACAGGCTATACAAACGCCTCACATTGCGTGGCTGCTGCCTCTCTAACCTGGTGGTCCCTGCACGCACGACCCACGTGGAGTTCCAGGTCTCCGGCAGCCTCTGGAACTGCCGTTCTGCGGCCAACAAGGCAGAGTTCATCTCAGCCTATGCTACCCTCCAGTCCCTCGACTTCTTGGCGCTGACGGAAACATGGATTACCACTGAAAACACTGCTACTCCTACTGCTCTCTCCTCGTCTGACCATGTGTTCTCGCATACCCCGAGAGCATCTGGTCAGCGGGGTGGTGGCACAGGAATCCTCATCTCTCCCAAGTGGACATTCTCTCTTTTTCCCCTGACCCATCTGTCTATCTCCTCATTTGAATGCCATGCTGTCACAGTCACTAGCCCATTCAAGCTTAACATCCTTGTCATTTATCGCCCTCCAGGTTCCCTTGGAGAGTTCATCAATGAGCTTGACGCCTTGATAAGTTCCTTTCCTGAGGATGGCTCACCCCTCACAGTTCTGGGTGACTTTAACCTCCCTACGTATACCTTTGACTAATTTCTCTCTGCCTCCTTCTTTCCACTCCTCTCCTCTTTTGACCTCACCCTCTCACCGTCCCCCCCTACTCACAAGGCAGGCAATACGCTTGACCTCATCTTTACTAGATACTGTTCTTCTACTAATCTCACTGCAACTCCCCTCCATGTCTCCGACCACTACTTTGTATCCTTTTCTCTGTCGCTCTCCTCCAACACTACTCACTCTGCCCCTACTCAGATGGTAATGCGCCGTCGCAACCTTCGCTCTCTCTCTCCCGCTACTCTCTCCTCTTCCATCCTATCATCTCTTCCCTCTGCTCAATCCTTCTCCCTCCAATCTCCTGATTCTGCCTCCTCAACCCTCCTCTCCTCCCTTTGGAAATGGAGGAAAACTAGACTCCCTGCGGACCTGGCATCTTTTCACTCCATCGTCTCTACATTTTCTTCCTCTGTTTCTGCTGCTAAAGCCACTTTCTACCACTCTAAATTCCAAGCATCTGCCTCTAACCCTAGGAAGCTCTTTGCCAGCTTCTCCTCCCTGCTGAATCCTCCTCCCCCTCCCCCCCCTCCTCCCTCTCTGTGGATGACTTCGTCAACCATTTTGAAAAGAAGGTTGACGACATTGTTAAGTCAAATGACACTGCTGGTCCTGCTCACACTGCCCTATCCTATTCTTTGACTTCTTTCTCCCCTCTCTCTCCAGATGAAATCTTGCGACTTGTGACGGCCGGCCGCCCAACAACCTGCCCGCTTGACCCTATCCCCTCCTCTCTTCTCCAGACCATCTCCGGTGACCTTCTCCCTTACCTCACCTCGCTCATCAACTCATCCTTGACCGCTGGCTATGTCCCTTCCGTCTTCAAGAGAGCGAGAGTTGCACCCCTTCTCAAAAAACCTACACTCGATCCCTCCGATGTCAACAACTACAGACCAGTATCCCTTCTTTCTTTTCTCTCCAAAACGCTTGAGCGTGCCATCTTTAGCCAACTCTCTTGCTATCTCTCTCAGAATGACCTTCTTGATCCAAACCAGTCAGGTTTCAAGACTGGTCATTCAACTGAGACTGCTCTTCTCTGTGTCACGGAGGCTCTCCGCACTGCTAAAGCTAACTCTCTCTCCTCTGCTCTTGTCCTTCTAGACCTGTCTGCTGCCTTTGATACTGTGAACCATCAGATCCTCCTCTCCGAGTTGGGCATCTCCGGCGCGGCTCACTCTTGGATTACGACCTACCTGACCGGTCGCTCCTACCAAGTGGCGTGGCGAGAATCTGTCTCCGCACCACGTGCTCTCACCACTGGTGTCCCCCAGGGCTCAGTTCTAGACTCTCTCCTATTCTCGCTATACACCAAGTCACTTGGCTCTGTCATATCCTCACATGGCCTCTCCTATCATTGCTACGCAGATGACACACAACTAATCTTCTCCTTTCCCCCTTCTGATAACCAAGGTGGCGAATCGCATCTCTGCATGTCTGGCAGACATATCAGTGTGGATGACGGATCACCACCTCAAGCTGAACATCGGCAAGACGGAGCTGCTCTTCCTCCCGGGGAAGGACTGCCCGTTCCATGATCTCGCCATCACGGTTGACAACTCCGTTGTGTCCTCCTCCCAGAGTGCGAAGAGCCTTGGCGTGACCCTGGACAACACCCTGTCATTCTCCGCTAACATCAAGGCGGTGACCCGATCCTGTAGGTTCATGCTCTACAACATTCGGAGAGTACGACCCTGCCTTACACAGGAAGCGGCACAGGTCCTAATCCAGGCACTTGTCATCTCCCGTCTGGATTACTGCAACTCGCTGTTGGCTGGGCTCCCTGCCTGTGCCATTAAACCCCCACAACTCATGCAGAATGCCGCAGCCCGTCTGGTGTTCAACCTTCCCAAGTTCTCTCACGTCACCCCGCTCCTCCGCACACTCCACTGGCTTCCAGTTGAAGCTCGCATCTGCTACAAGACCATGGTGCTTGCCTACGGAGCTGTGAGGGGAACGGCACCTCCGTACCTTCAGGCTCTGATCAGTCCCTACACCCAAACGAGGGCATTGCGTTCATCCACCTCTGGCCTGCTGGCCCCCCTACCTCTGCGGAAGCACAGTTCCCGCTCAGCCCAGTCAAAACTGTTCGCTGCTCTGGCACCCCAATGGTGGAACAAGCTCCCTCACGACGCCAGGACAGCGGAGTCACTCACCACCTTCCGGAGACACTTGAAACCCCACCTCTTTAAGGAATACCTGGGATAGGATAAAGTAATCCTTCTACCCCCCCTTACCCCACCCACCCAAAAAAATAAAATAAACATATTGTAAAGTGGTTATCCCACTGGCTATAAGGTGAATGCACCAATTTGTAAGTCGCTCTGGATAAGAGTGTCTGCTAAATGACGTAAATGTAAATGTAAATATAAAGGAGGATATCTCATGGTGGTATAGTTTCCCTCTATGGCATCACCTCTCCTTCCGTGGAGGGCTCGATGTCAGAGTATCTCTCCTCACAGATGACATCATTGATATGGTGGCGTGCGTGGGCAGGCACTCTGGGGAACGTCTTGGAGCAGTTGTAGGCAAAATAACGGTACGGTCTCCAGGAGCGACCAAAATCAGCCGAACGCTCTATCAGCATGGCGGCAGGTCGGAATGTCTATGGAAAGATAGCGGGAACAGTATTCAGTAACGTCTGGGACTTATTCAGAATCATTTCTGTGATGTTTATTACATGTCTGTTTTATTGGTAAGGTTTGTAGATCGTTTTGAATTGATGTCTCTTGGATATTACTCGACAAATTCCTGAGCAGCCAGCCATCAGACAGCGCTCACCTTAAACTTCATGATGAGGTGAGTGAAGTGGAATTCTGCCTCCAGATTCAGTCTGATACTGACGACCTCCTCTCCTGTAGGGAATAAATCACACAGAACACAATGAGGGATTATCACAGATGACACACACACACACACACATACACACACACATACACACACACACACACACCGTTGACAGACTGCCACCAGGTGAGGTCCTCGTTGCTGTCCTTGAGTTGGATGACGTTCTCCACGCGGTGACTGTTTTTGTGGTGGTACGGGTCATAAGGATGCTGAGAGTTACACGCAAAACACTTGTCTGATTCCTACAGGGAGAAAGAAGCAGTAGGTATATATCATGTTTATACCACATGACCCCATTTGGAATCTGTTTAGGTGTGATATAGTAACACTGACTTAAATAGACTTGTTAATTACAACATTGGCCTGACGTGTATCCATGAGTTTGACACCACCAATAGTAAAGCCCTGGTTGCCTATGGAAACCCCAAATGTGGGCCGGGCACTCGTTTGCAAGTCACAATGGCAGCTAGTGGGACTGGAGCCAGGCAGTGGTAATAGCTATTGGGACCAGAGCCAGAGGCAGCGGTCACATGTTCCCCCGGATCATAGTCTTAACTACTGTGGAGCACATTGGGTGGAGAGTGAGGGGGACAGGGAGGAGGAGAGGGTGAAGGTGAGGGGGGCAGGGAGGACGGGAGGGTGAGGGGGCAGGGAGGACGGGAGGGTGAGGGTGAGGGTGAGGGGGCAGGGAGGACGGGAGGGTGAGGGTGAGGGGGGCAGGGAAGACGGGAGGGGGAGTTGAGGGGTGAGGGGAGGGGAGGGGGAGCGGGGAGGGGGGATGGAAGTGGGAGGGTGAGGGTGAGGGGGCAGGGAGGACGGGAGGGTGAGGGTGAGGGGGGCAGGGAGGACGGGAGGGTGAGGGTGAGGGGGGAGGGGAGGGGGAGTGGGTAGGGAGGATGGGAGTGTGAGGGGGAGGAGAGAGAGGAAGGGGGAGTTGAGGGGGGAGGGGAGGGGGAGCAGGTAGGTAGGATGGGAGTGTGAGGGGGAGGGGAGAGAGGAAGGGGGAGTTGAGGGAGGAGGGGGAGGGGGGAGTGGGAAGGGAGGATGGGAGTGTGAGGGGGAGGGGAGAGAGGAAGGGGGAGTTGAGGAAGGAAGGAAGGAAGGAAGGAAGGAAGGAAGGAAGGAAGGAAGGAAGGAAGGAAGGAAGGAAGGAAGGAAGGAAGGAAGGAAGGAAGGAAGGAAGGAAGGAAGGAAGGAAGGAAGGAAGGAAGGAAGGAAGGAAGGAAGGAAGGAAGGAAGGAAGGAAGGAAGGAAGGAAGGAAGGATGGAGGTAGGGAGGGAGGGAGGGAGGGAGGGAGGGGTGGGGAGAGGGAGGAAGGATGTAGGTAGGGAGGGAGGGGTGGGGAGAGGGAGGAAGGATGGAGGTAGGGAGGGAGGGATGGGAAGAGGGAGGAAGGATGGAGGTAGGGAGTGAGGGAGGGGTGGGGAGAGGGAGGAAGGATGGAGGTAGGGAGGGAGGGGTGGGGAGAGGGAGGAAGGATGGAGGTAGGGAGGGAGGGGTGGGGAGAGGGAGGAAGGATGGAGGCAGGGAGGGAGGGAGGGGTGGGGAGAGGGAGGAAGGATGAAGGTAGGGAGGGAGGGATGGGGAGAGGGAGGAAGGATGGAGGTAGGGAGGGAGGGGTGGGGAGAGGGAGGAAGGATGAAGGTAGGGAGGGAGGGAGGGGTGGGGAGAGGGAGGTAGGTGGGGTGCGCTTTATACCTGGGACTGACATTGAAACAGTTCAGTTTCAAGTCCAGGTGTGTGTGTGTGTGTGTGTGTGTGTGTGTGTGTGTGTGTGTGTGTGTGTGTGTGTGTGTGTGTGTGTGTGTGTGTGTGTGCGTGCGTGCGTGCGTGCGTGCGTGCGTGCGTGCGTGCGTGCGTGCGTGCGTGCGTGCGTGCGTGCGTGCGTGCGTGCGTGCGTGCGTGCGTGCGTGTGTGTGTGTGCGTGTGTGTTCTCACCTGCAGGTGGCTGACTATACAGTAGTGTTCTGGCCCATGAAGACCACAAGTGGAGGTGGCGGTCAGATTAATGGCTCGGCCAACCAGCAGGTTGCCTGTTGCTGGGTAACAGCTGCCCTCCATGCAGCCATGCGGGCTTGAGGGGAGCTGCTGTCCCACCACACTGAGAGCTGAGGGGGAATTGAGGACAGGGAAGCAGAAGGAAGAGAACACAAAATACCCGATGATTAGTTACTCCATCATAATGTTATCAGATCAGGTTACATAGGACAGGTCATAATGGTATCAGATCAGGTTACATAGGTCAGGTCATAATGGTATCAGATCAGGTTACATAGGACAGGTCATAATGGTATCAGATCAGGGTACATAGGACAGGTCATAATGGTATCAGATCAGGTTACATAGGACAGGTCATAATGGTATCAGATCAGGTTACATAGAACAGGTCATAATGGTATCAGATCAGGTTACATAGGACAGGTCATAATGGTATCAGATCAGGTTACATAGGACAGGTCATACTGGTATCAGATCAGGTTACATAGGACAGGTCATAATGGTATCAGATCAGGTTACATAGGACAGGTCATAATGGTATCAGATCAGGTTACATAGGACAGGTCATAATGGTATCAGATCAGGTTACATAGGACAGGTCATAATGGTATCAGATCAGGTTATATAGAACAGGTCATAATGGTATCAGATCAGGGTACATAGGACAGGTCATAATGGTATCAGATCAGGTTACATAGGACAGGTCATAATGCTATCAGATCAGGTTACATAGGACAGGTCATAATGCTATCAGATCAGGTTACATAGGTCAGGTCATAATGGTATCAGATCAGGTTACATAGGACAGGTCATAATGGTATCAGATCAGGTTACATAGGTCAGGTCATAATGGTATCTGATCAGGTTACATAGAACAGGTCATAATGGTATCAGATCAGGTTACATAGAACAGGTCATAATGGTATCAGATCAGGTTACATAGGACAGGTCATAATGGTATCAGATCAGGTTACATAGAACAGGTCATAATGGTATCAGATCAGGTTACATAGGACAGGTCATAATGGTATCAGATCAGGTTACATAGGACAGGTCATAATGGTATCAGATCAGGTTACATAGGACAGGTCATAATGGTATCAGATCAGGTTACATAGGACAGGTCATACTGGTATCAGATCAGGTTACATAGGACAGGTCATAATGGTATCAGATCAGGTTACATAGGACAGGTCATAATGGTATCAGATCAGGTTACATAGGACAGGTCATAATGGTATCAGATCAGGTTACATAGGACAGGTCATAATGGTATCAGATCAGGTTATATAGAACAGGTCATAATGGTATCAGATCAGGGTACATAGGACAGGTCATAATGGTATCAGATCAGGTTACATAGGACAGGTCATAATGCTATCAGATCAGGTTACATAGGACAGGTCATAATGTTATCAGATCAGGTTACATAGGTTAGGTCATAATGGTATCAGATCAGGTTACATAGGTCAGGTCATAATGGTATCAGATCAGGTTACATAGGACAGGTCTAATGGTATCAGATCAGGTTACATAGGACAGGTCATAATGGTATCAGATCAGGTTAAATAGGTCAGGTCATAATGGTATCAGATCAGGTTACATAAGACAGGTGACAAGGGTCAGGTGACTTTACTGTCCTCAGGCCAGGAGTCAGATGTGAACATTTAAGAGAGGTAAATAAATCACTTGTTCCCTTCGACTGAAGTTGGAGTTGGTCTTTATGACATTCTAGTGGTTGTGCTGCTTCCGGCTCCTCACACCTGGACGCTGGCCGTAATAATAGAGACAGTAAATAGTGTTGTTGTGACCTCATCTTTGGTTTGCTGTCATAATCTGTGAGTGATGAACTGGATAGCTCCCTCAGCACCCGTGGGTGTTCAGAGGGGGCAGGGCCACCGCAGAATGCCCCTATTATACCCTCTTTTGGGCTCTGAGTGTTACACCCTGTTGTCCCACTCACCCACGTAAATGTTCTCTCCACATCAGTGACTCTGAATAACCAAGCCATCATCGTGGTTGAGGGAGGAGGGGAGAGTGGTTGAGGGAGGTGGGGAGAGTGGTTGAGGGAGGTGGGGAGAGTGGTTGAGGGAGGAGGGGAGAGTGGTTGAGGGAGGTGAGGAGAGTGGTTGAGGGAGGAGGGGGAGAGTGGTTGAGGGAGGTGGGGAGAGTGGTGAGGGAGGGGGGGAGAGTGGTTGAGGGAGGTGGGGGAGAGTGGTTGAGGGAGGAGGGGAGAGTGGTTGAGGGAGGTGGGGAGAGTGGTTGAGGGAGGAGGGGAGAGTGGTTGAGGGAGGTGGGGAGAGTGGTTGAGGGAGGTGGGGAGGAGTGGTTGAGGGAGGGAGGGGAGAGTGGTTGAGGGAGGAGGGGAGAGTGGTTGAGGAGGTGGGGAGAGTGGTTGAGGGAGGTGGGGAGAGTGGTTGAGGGAGGAGGGGAGAGTGGTTGAGGGAGGTGGGGAGAGTGGTTGAGGGAGGTGGGGAGAGTGGTTGAGGGAGGTGGGGAGAGTGGTTGAGGGAGGAGGGGAGAGTGGTTGAGGGAGGAGGGGAGAGTGGTTGAGGAAGGAGGGGAGAGTGGTTGAGGGAGGAGGGGAGAGTGGTTGAGGGAGGTGGGGAGAGTGGTTGAGGAAGGAGGGGACTGATTACGTTCTACAGAGTGGGAGAAAGAGAGAGGCAGCTAGAGATATGGAAAGAAATGCAGAGATCACTGGGGCCTCTGTCAACATCAGAGGACCAGGGAACAGCAAACACACAGCATGTTGGGACACGACGGAGGTGGAAAGTGTGATGTGTATTTAAAAACATCCTGTGTTACCAATGAGAAATGAAATAGTCATATTTTCCATAGACACCTAGTCATTAGGGCATGTTTAAGTGTCAATTACAATATAAGAGAACCAAGTAAACATAGGGCCACAAGATCAGCGGACAGCAACACATAGAGCTCAACAGAGCTTTCTAATTGAACACATAAAAAGACGCTCCAATCCACAGACAGATTAACGAGCCTGCCTTGGCTTGCTTCACAGGCTGCTATTGTGCAAGGCCATAAGAGAAACCATGTCCTTTTGTCCTGTACCGTTGGCTAACCGATAAATATACACAGATCATATACCATGACTTGGCCCGTGCTCAAGTAAAATATTTAACTGAAGCAGATTCCCTGAATTCCAGTGAAGGAGCAGGGAAGCATTAACACAAGGCAATACGCCACTGGGCCTTAACCTGACACCAGTAGGATACCTTCAGACCCTCACACACCTGAGACCAGTAGGATACCTTCAGCCCCTCACACACCTGACACCAGTAGGATACCTTCAGCCCCTCACACACCTGACACCAGTAGGATACCTTCAGCGCCTCACACACCTGACACCAGTAGGATACCTTCAGACCCTCACACACCTGAGACCAGTAGGATACCTTCAGCCCCTCACACACCTGACACCAGTAGGATACATTCAGCCCCTCATACACCTGACACCAGTAGGATACATTCAGCCCCTCACACACCTGACACTAGTAGGATACCTTCAGCCCCTCACACACCTGACACCAGTAGGATTCATTCAGCCCCTCACACACTTGAGACCAGTTGGATACATTCAGCCCCTCACACACCTGACACCAGTAGGATACCTTCAGCCCCTCACACACCTGACACCAGTAGGATACATTCAGCCCCTCACACACCAGACACCAGTAGGATACCTTCAGCCCCTCACCTACCTGACACCAGTAGGATACCTTCAGCCTCTCACACACCTGACACCCGTAGGATACATTCAGCCCCTCACACACCTGACACCAGTAGGATACATTCAGCCCCTCACACCTGACACCAGTAGGATACCTTCAGCCCCTCACACACCTGACACCCGTAGGATACATTCAGCCCCTCACACACCTGACACCAGTAGGATACATTCAGCCCCTCACACACCTGACACCAGTAGGATACATTCAGCCCCTCACACACCTGACACCAGTAGGATACATTCAGCCCCTCACACACCTGAGACCAGTAGGATACATTCAGCCCCTCACACACCTGACACCAGTAGGATACCTTCAGCCCCTCACACACCTGAGACCAGTAGGATACATTCAGCCCCTCACACACCTGAGACCAGTAGGATACCTTCAGCCCCTCACACACCTGACACCAGTAGGATTCATTCAGCCCCTCACACACCTGAGACCAGCAGGATACATTCAGCCACTCACACACCTGAGTACAGGTACAGTAAACCTGCAGGTTAAATCAAAGGCTGACCTTTGGAATATTGATCTGAACATACATCCGATCTGACTCTCCCTGGGCAAACAGAACAGTCCCGTTAGAAGCGTTGAGCAGAGCGATTAGCATACTGTAGCTCACCAGAGATGAAGGACACCGATGGGGGTAACTGTAGTTGTGACCCCTAGGGCACCTCTCTGTGACATGTTAGCTCTGACAGTGATACAGAACCTAAAGGCTTTTTCTAAGATACAATGTGTATGTTGCATGAGTGGACAATCTAGTGTATCTCAGCCCCTGTGTGGTTGAACCATGACCAGATTGTGTTGAATTGTCCACCTCACTGTGGTTCACTATAATGACAGTATGTGGTGTTGGAGTTCTATCCTCTCATCAGATGGCTGTTCTATTTTCTCCCCGATGTTGAAATGTACCTGGTTTTGGCTGGTAATTACAAGGCACCACTGCAGACTGGTGCTCTGTGTGTGTGTGTGTGTGTGTGTGTGTGTGTGTGTGTGTGTGTGTGTGTGTGTGTGTGTGCTTGTGCGCGTGTGCGTGTGCCCGTGCGTGCACCCTGCATCTGTGAGTGTATCTTTGTGTGGATGTGTTTTGTATAGTGTATTTGGGGAGGGCCCTGGTAACCTACTCTGTTATTGCACTCAATAACAACGACACACATTTCAAAGAACATTTCAAATCCTACCTGGGATCCCATTGAGAGCAGGGTATAATACAGCTGCTTCCCAAAATCACTGATGAAATGTACATACATCAAGTAAAACTACCGTGTACATCACCGTTTTCTGCCCATGTTAGAGAACGTTACTGTAGGTCGGATCCTAATGCTAATGTATTTGTGTGTGTGCAAACCATAAACACAGGGCTTTTGTAGGTTTTAAAACTGCTGTTGACGCCATCTGTTTTTTTGCGGTCTGATTAGAGCGCTGGTCAAGCACGTGTCTGTACACCACCCACCTCTGAGCTACACACACACACACACACACACACACACACACACACACACACACACACACACACACACACACACACGCCCCATCTCCATTCAGAACAGGGGGCTGTGGCAAGAATGCAGGGAGACTGCGAGAGAGGAAAATGTTATTCATTAAGAAAAACCTTCCAGGTGTCGGACACGGACAGTTCCAGACAGTCCGACCCCTCCCACAATGCCCCTGTGCGGAGGTGGAATGTGTGTGTTGGAGTGTGGAGGGCCCGTCCACACATGCACCGTACTGCTTATCTCTAAACAGGCTGGGGGGCACTGGGATGGGGAAAGAAGCAGGACGTCAGGCTGACAAGGGTGGACAGCATGATGGATCCTCCACCTCCACGCTACTGGGCTTCACTGCAACTGTCTTTCCTCTGGGAGTCAAGCCTTCATCCACTCACTACCACCTGAGACATTTTCAGCCACTGGACTGGAGCTCTGAGCACAGCAGTGAATACACTCTCTGTCAGAGCAGCTAGGCCTCGTCAAGCCATGTTACTTTTACTGGACTTACACCGCTTCCTGCCCTGAGATCACCTCTCCCTAGGCTAGTCTATGGCGGGTCCACTGCCCTGAGATCATCTCTCCCTAGACTAGTCTATGGTGGGTCCCCTCACTGCCATCATAGCTGTCAGTGTTGACCCTTATCCAATTACAGCAAATTGTGTGATAGAATCAATCAGATAACATTGTCACTGATGGTTAATGTTTAACAGGACACTGTCTCCATCCAGTTCTGTATTAATTATACAGTAGGAGACCACATAGCAAAGCACCAGTTGATACAGATGGAAGGTGAAAGGTAACACTTCCACACACCTGAAATGAATGTGCAATCATAGAGAACATGACCTAGATTCCTGACTGCGTGTGATTGAGGAGAAAAGGGCACATATCCCAGCAACCTGCACTTTGTGCCAGTGCCGCCCAGGGAAGGAGGGCGGAGGGAGGGTTTAAGAAAGTCACAATACCCAGTAATCTGTCTTTAACCTCTACAGGATCGGTGTACTGTATACGGGACAGTTGAGCTAATGTGCACTAATGTGATTAGCATGACTGTTGTAAGTAACAGAAAACTTTCCAGGACATAGACATGTCTTATATGGGCAGAAAGCTTAAATTATTGTTAATCTACCTGCACTCTTTTTACAGACACAATTTACAGTCGCTATTACAGTGAAAAAATACCATGCTATTGTTTGAGGAGAGTGCACAACAACAGAAAACTTATCACGGCAACTGGTTTGATACATTCACCTCTGAAGGTAAATAATTGTGATACTCTGGCTCCATGGACTTTGATTATTTGAGCCAGGGTTGTTCATTTTCATTGTTTGGGTGTATTTCTATGTTGGGTATTCTAGTTGTTCATTTCTATGTTTGGGTATTGTTCTTGATTAGTCATATGACTCCCAATCGGAGGTAACGAGTGTCAGCTGTCGGCTCGTTATCTCTGATTGGGAGCCATATTTAAACTGTGTGGTTTCTCCTTGGTTTGTGGGTTTTTGTTCCATGTTTCTGTCAGTGTTACAGAGGACTTCACTATCGTCATTTGTTGTTTTTCGTGGTTGCTTTATTAAATAAAGTCATCATGTTCACTCCACGCGCTGCGTATTGGTCCGCTTCTTCAGACGATCGTGACAGAAAAACCCACCATCAAAGGACCAAGCAGCGTGTCAAGCGGCAACAGGACCCAGCTCCAAAGGCTTCCTGGACATGGGAGGAGATTTTGGACGGAAAGGGGTCCTGGACTTGGGAGGAGATCCTGGATGGGATGGATCGCCGTCCATGGAGCGAGACGGTGGAGAGGCGACGGCGAGAGGAGCAACGGCGTCAGCAGGGCCATCGTCGGAAGGACGAGAGGCAACCCCAAAACGTTTTTTGGGGGGGGGCACATGGCTTGGGCGGCTGGGCAGCAGGAGGCTGCCACAGGGCTGACGGAGGCAGAGAAGGGGCGAATTCAAGAGGCAACCAGGTTACGGGGGTCACTGGCCAAAGTAGGGAAAGGAGATGTAGGGGCACGGCGAGTGGTACTGGGGTGTATTACCAGTCCGGTCCGGCCCGTTCCAGTTCCCGGGGTAGAGCCAGTGGTGTGTGCCTCCAGTACGGTCCGGCCTGTTACGACCCCTCGCACCAAGGATACGGTGCGCTTCGCCAGCCCGGCCCGGCCTGTTCCGGCCACTCGCACCAGGGATACGGTGCGCTTCGCCAGCCCAGCCCGGCCTGTTCCGGCCACTCGCACCAGGGATACGGTGCGCTTCGCCAGCCCAGCCCGGCCTGTTCCGGCCACTCGCACCAGGGATACGGTGCGCTTCGCCAGCCCAGCCCGGCCTGTTCCGGCCACTCGCACCAGGGATACGGTGCGCTTCGCCAGCCCGGCCCGGCCTGTTCCGGCCACTCGCACCAGGGATACGGTGCGCGTCGCCAGCCCTTTCCCACCAGTGCCTACACCACGCCCCAAGCCTCCTGTGTGTCTCCCGAGTCCTGTGCGTCCTGTTGCTGCTCTCCGCACTAGGCTTAATGTGAGTCCCCAGGGTCCAGCATGCCCTGTTCCGGCTCTCCGCACTAGCCCTTATGTGCGTTCCCAGGGTCCAGCATGCCCTGTTGCTTCTCCCCGCACTAGCCCTGAGATGCGTGTCCTCAGCCCGGTACCTCCAGTTCCGGCACCACGCATCAGGCCTACGGTGCGTCCCCAGGGCCAAGCATGCCCTGTTGCTGCTTCCCGCACTAGCCCTGAGATGCGTGTCCTCAGCCCGGTACCTCCAGTTCCGGCACCACGCATCAGGCCTACGGTGCGTCCCCAGGGTCCAGCATGCCCTGTTGCTTCTCCCCGCACTAGCCCTGAGATGCGTGTCCTCAGCCCGGTACCTCCTGTTCCGGCACCACGCACCAGGCCTACGATGCGCCTCAGACGGCCAGAGTCTGCCGTCTGCCCAACGGGGCCTGAACTGTCCGTCTGCCCAACGCCGTCTGAACTGCCCGTCTGCCCAACGCCGTCTGAACTGTCCGTCTGCCAAGCGCCGCAGGAACTGCCCGTCGGTACTGAGCCTGCAAAGCCGCCCGTCTGCCATGAGCCTTCAGAGCCGTCCGCCAGACCGGAGCCGCTAGAGCTCTCCGCCAGACAGGAGCAGCCAGAGCCTTCCGCCAGACAGGAGCAGCCAGAGCCTTCCGCCAGACAGGATCAGCCAGAGCCTTCCGCCAGACAGGAGCAGCCAGAGCCTTCCGCCAGACAGGATCAGCCAGAGCCTTCTGCCGGACAGGATCAGCCAGAGCCTTCCGCCAGCCAGGATCCGCCAGAGCCGTCCAGCCAGGATCCGCCAGAGCCAGCCAGCCAGGATCCGCCATTCAGTCCGGTGCTGCCCCTCAGGCCGGTGCTGCCCCTTAGTCAGGTACTGTCCCTTAGTCCGGTGCTGCCCCTTAGTCCGGTGCTGCCCCTTAGTCCGGTGCCGCCCCTTAATCCAGTGGGGTTTAGTTGGGGGGTGGTCAGGTGGAGGGGGCTACGGAAGCGGATAGTGACTAAGGTGGGGTGGGGACCACGACCTGGGCCAGAGCCGCCACCATGGACAGACGCCCACCCAGACCCTCCCCTAGACTGTAGGCTGGTGCGCCCGGAGTTCGCACCTTTAGGGGGGGGTACTGTGATACTCTGGCTCCATGGACTTTGATTATTTGAGCCAGGGTTGTTCATTTTCATTGTTTGGGTGTATTTCTATGTTGGGTATTCTAGTTGTTCATTTCTATGTTTGGGTATTGTTCTTGATTAGTCATATGACTCCCAATCGGAGGTAACGAGTGTCAGCTGTCGGCTCGTTATCTCTGATTGGGAGCCATATTTAAACTGTGTGGTTTCTCCTTGGTTTGTGGGTTTTTGTTCCATGTTTCTGTCAGTGTTACAGAGGACTTCACTATCGTCATTTGTTGTTTTTCGTGGTTGCTTTATTAAATAAAGTCATCATGTTCACTCCACGCGCTGCGTATTGGTCCGCTTCTTCAGACGATCGTGACAATAATGTACTTACATTCAGTAATCTTGCTCTGATTTGTTATCCTAAGGGTCCCAGAGATAAAATGTAGCATCGTTTTGTTTGATAAAATCAATTTTTATATTCAAATGTAGGAACTGGGTTCTACAGTTTGAACCCCTGCTGTCTCTGGCTCCACACCCACCCCGCCCAGCCATCTAGATGTGTGAAAGTTAGTGTATTAGCTAATGATCCATCATGTATGACATTCCTGGGAGTGTGTAAACTTACATTATGTATTACCATATCATTTTTGTATGTTCTCCATAGTTATGTACTTGAAAATGTATCAATTGACCAATTCGGCACATTTGGGCAAACTTGATACAAAATATTCCAGTATTGCAATGCTTCACTGGATCAATCTGAAACTTTGCACACACACTGCTTAAACTGCAATATTATATTGTGGCCTTTCCCTTGCATTTCAAAGATGATGGAACAAAAAAAAAAAAGAAAACACAAGTTTTTTTGTTTGTATTATCTCTTACCAGATCTAATGTGTCATATTCTCCTACATTAATTTCACATTTCCACAAACTTCTAAGTGTTTCCTTGCATATCCTTGCTTCAGGTCCTGAGCTACAGGTAGTTAGATTTGGGTATGTCATTTTATGCGAAAATTTAAAGAAAGGGTCCGATCCTTAAGAGGTTAACTGAATTAGAGCTGAGTTCCTGGGATAGCTATGATGACGACCAGGTGGGAGTTGAGAGCAGAGCAGCTGCCTGGGTCCTGGGCTGGGGGGACAGACAAACAGCAGCCCTCTGAACACACTTCATACCTCACTGGTTGCGTATATACAGTGGGGGAAAAAAAGTATTTAGTCAGCCACCAATTGTGCAAGTTCTCCCACTTAAAAAGATGAGAGAGGCCTGTAATTTGCATCATAGGTACACGTCAACTATGACAGACAAATTGAGATTTTCTTTCTCCAGAAAATCACATTGTAGGATTTTTAATGAATTTATTTGCAAATTATGGTGGAAAATAAGTATTTGGTCACCTACAAACAAGCAAGATTTCTGGCTCTCACAGACCTGTAACTTCTTCTTTAAGAGGCTCCTCTGTCCTCCACTCGTTACCTGTATTAATGGCACCTGTTTGAACTTGTTATCAGTATAAAAGACACCTGTCCACAACCTCAAACAGTCACACTCCAAACTCCACTATGGCCAAGACCAAAGAGCTGTCAAAGGACACCAGAAACAAAATTGTAGACCTGCACCAGGCTGGGAAGACTGAATCTGCAATAGGTAAGCAGCTTGGTTTGAAGAAATCAACTGTGGGAGCAATTATTAGGAAATGGAAGACATACAAGACCTAGTGAGTGACCTGCAGAGAGCTGGGACCAAAGTAACAAAGCCTACCATCAGTAACACACTACGCCGCCAGGGACTCAAATCCTGCAGTGCCAGACGTGTCCCCCTGCTTAAGCCAGTACATGTCCAGGCCCGTCTGAAGTTTGCTAGTGTGCATTTGGATGATCCAGAAGAGGATTGGGAGAATGTCATATGGTCAGATGAAACCAAAATAGAACTTTTTGGTAAAAACTCAACTCGTCGTGTTTGGAGGACAAAGAATGCTGAGTTGCATCCAAAGGACACCATACCTACTGTGAAGCATGGGGGTGGAAACATCATGCTTTGGGGCTGTTTTTCTGCAAAGGGACCAGGACGACTGATCCGTGTAAAGGAAAGAATGAATGGGGCCATGTATCGTGAGATTTTGAGTGAAAACCTCCTTCCATCAGCAAGGGCATTGAAGATGAAACGTGGCTGGGTCTTTCAGCATGACAATGATCCCAAACACACCGCCCGTGCAACGAAGGAGTGGCTTCGTGAGAAGCATTTCAAGGTCCTGGAGTGGCCTAGCCAGTCTCCAGATCTCAACCCCATAGAAAATCTTTGGAGGGAGTTGAAAGTCCGTGTTGCCCAGCGACAGCCCCAAAACATCACTGCTCTAGAGGAGATCTGCATGGAGGAATGGGCCAAAATACCAGCAACAGTGTGTGAAAACCTTGTGAAGACTTACAGAAAACGTTTGACCTGTGTCATTGCCAACAAAGGGTCCTCTGTAGCTCAGCTGGTAGAGCACGGCGCTTGTAACGCCAAGGTAGTGGGTTCGATCCCCGGGACCACCCATACACAAAAATGTATGCACGCGTGACTGTAAGTCGCTTTGGATAAAAGCGTCTGCTACATGGCATATTATTATTATATTATATAACAAAGTATTGAGAAACTTTTGTTATTGACCAAATACTTATTTTCCACCATCATTTGCAAATAAATTCATAAAAAATCCTACAATGTGATTTTCTGGATTTTTTTTCCTCATTTTGTCTGTCATAGTTGACGTGTACCTATGATGAAAATTACAGGCCTCTCTCATCTTTTTAAGTGGGAGAACTTGCACAATTGGTGGCTGACTAAATACTTTTTTCCCCCACTGTATGTGTGCGTGTGTGTGTGTGTGTGTGTGCGTGTGTGTGTGTGTGTGTGTGTGTGTGTGTGTGTGTTTGTGTGTGTGTGTGTGCGTGCAGGTGGTTGCGTACGCACGCAGGTGTGTCAAAACACACCTCAGTCACCAATTAGCCCTGCAGAGGCCCATTCTGACAATCCTACAGAGACTAAAGCTGCTGCTAGTAACCCATCATTTGCAAGACGTTCCAGAAATACCCCAGATTCTGTTGGATTTAAATGACAGATTTTCAACTGAATCTTCAAAGATTTAAGTAGCTAGTGCTTACCATGTGAGATGACCTAATACAATAAGCTTGGGCTGCATGACTAGAGAGGTTAAAAAAGCTTTCAGCGCTCATTGTTCTGGCATCTTAAGTTGTGGCTGTGGAACCCTGTCATACAGAGGTACACCCCTGATCACAGAAGAGTTTAGAGACATCAACCAGAATTCTGTCATTCTCAGGTTCCATTCTCTATACATTGGTGTGTTGTATAGCAATTATCTCACACATTAGGTAAACCAAGGGAGGAGCTGCAAAGCTATACAGAACCATTACTGCATCAGATCTCGCCTGAACAGCAGTCTGAGGAGTGGCTCCTCTTTTGTAGTAAGAGACTGATGAAAGATGAGAGGCAGGATCATCAGTCAGCAGCACAATGGTGTCAACACAGGAAAGCAGAGACAAATCCCTTGTTTGCACTTCACTCAACTTGCCCTGCACTGCTCTGGAGAGAAGAGTATGATTATGGTGTATGAAATGGAGAATTAAACATAATGATCATGTATAAAGGGATTAGGGAATGAGAGACAACAAATCTACGAGAGAGAGAGAGACAGAGACAGAGACAGAGACAGAGACAGAGAGAGAGAGAGAGAGAGAGAGAGAGAGAGAGGAGAGAGAGAGAGAGAGAGAGAAGAGAGGAGAGAGAGAGAAGTAGAGAGAGAGAGAGGATAGATAGATAGATAGATAGATAGATAGATAGATATAGATGAGATAGTAGATAGATAGATAGTAGATAGATAGATAGATAGCTAGATAATGATAGATGATAGATAGATGTAGATATATAGATTAATAGATAATAGATAGATAGATAGATCGAAGCTCCCAGCTAGCCAGCCTACCCACGATGAGACGGAGATCGATCGCTAGAGAGACAGGAGACCGAAGAGAACAGAGAGAGAGAGAGAGACGGAAAGAACAGGAGAGAGAGAGAGACGAGAGAGAGAGAGAGAGTGAAGAGAGAGAGAGAGAGAGAGAGAGAGAGAGAGATAGAGACAGCAGAGAGAGAGAGAGAGAGAGGGAGAGAGAGAGAGGAGAGGGAGAGGAGAAGAGGAGAGAGAGAGAGAGAGAGAGAGCAATCACAGCAGCATGAATACAACCTATATTTCTGTTTATTTATTTTCCCTTTTGTACTTTAACTATTTGCACATCATTAGAACACTGTATATATACATAATATACATTACATTTACATTTTAGTCATTTAGCAGACGCTCTTATCCAGAGCGACTTACAGTTAGTGAGTGCATAAATTTTTCATGCTGTCACATTACTTTCATTTCATGGCTTTACCGTCCATCTCCAACTCCAAAAATGAGTCTGACAGGCACATACTTGGGTCAGGATCAGCGGTCCTGGCTACAATGAGCCAACCGCGATACGAGTTAAGCTTTGCTGGTGTCAGTTAGGCAGACTAGCTTGACAGGGCTAGCGTGCTAGCTCAATCAATCAAATTGATTTATAAAGCCCTTTTTACATCAGTATCAGTTCAGTCAACAGACAGTCAAATCCTGCCAGGAAAAGCTTTTACCATTGCTCCTTCAGTGGCTTGGAGTGAATGAGGCCTGATGCTGCTGCTGTGGTAAAGCCTCACCATTGTAGCTGACTATGATAGCTGATTAGCATTCAACGTTAATCTTTGTTTCGTTTTTATTTTTTAAAGTAGGCTATTTCTCTTTTGTTTATTATCTATTTCACTTGCTTTGGCAATGTAAACATATGTTTCCCATGCCAATAAAGCCCTTATATTGAATTGTAATTTAATTGAATTGAGAGAGAGAGAGAGAGAGAGAGAGAGATAGAGACAGAGACAGAGACAGAGACAGAGACAGAGACAGAGACATACCATTAGAGAGAGAGAGACAGAGACAGAGACAGATAGAGAGAGTGTATAAATCAGCTATGATTACCATTCCTTACAACACACTAGTAAAACAACAACAACAACCCAGTCAACCAATGGGGAGGAAGAAGGAAGGAAAGTGTGGGGTTTGTGTCTATTTCCTCTCTACGGAAGCTGTTGCTGTGCCAGTCACGCCCATGGACTCTCCTCCTCAGTCCTTACCCTGAGACAATGGGACAAAATCGAACGCATTGCACACAGTATTACAGCTGCAAAATGGCTGCCCGCACATTTGTCATGGACCATTGCCATGGAATTTGACAAAGTGTCACTGCAGGATGTTTTACAGTGTGCTTTCGAAATATGTAATTATCCGACTTTAACAGAACTGACCAGCTACTGTATAACATGTTTGAACAGTCATGCCCATAACCTGTAACCTCTGAGGAAGTTTGTGCATCAGTCTGTGTGTGCAAGTGCTGCAGGGCACAGAGACTGCCTTCTCAGGCCTCTCTCTGCTGTCTCACACTGCTGGTAATGAATGTGCCCTAATAGCCCTCCCTTTCTCTATCACCCCATTCTTTCTAAAGTGGACACTAATGAGCTTTTCTTACTCTCTATAACGGCCTTCCTCATTGTTCTCTTTATGTCTTCACTAAACACAAATGACTGACCTCTCTCTTTCAACCTTCCATGTTTTACACATAATATTAAATGTTTTAAAATCATCTCTTACACTGTTTTAAACATCCTATTCCCTGTTTTACATTCCTCTATTCCCGTGTTTTACCTCCTCCTCTAATTCCTGTTTTACTTCCTATTTCTCTGTTTTTACCTCCTCTATTCACCTTTTTAAAATATACTCATCTTCCAGGTTTAACTAATCTCTTCCTGTTTTACTTCCTATGTCACACCTGTTTTACAATCCTCGCTTCAATGTTTTACCCTCCTCTCTCTTACCTGTTTTACCCTACTCTATTACATGTTTTACCCCATATCTTCCATGTTTTACCCTCCTCTCTTAACTGTTTTACACCTCGCTTCCCTGTTTTACATTCCTCTATTAACTGTTTTAACCATACTCTGATTCCCTGTGTGACCCTAACTTCTCTCCATGTTTTTACCTTCCTCTCTTCCCTGTTTTACCCTCCTCTCTTCCCTGTTTTACCTTCCTCTCTTCCCTGTTTTACCCTCCTCTCTTCCCTGTTTTACCTTCCTCTCTTCCCTGTTTTACCCTCCTCTCTTCCCTGTTTACCCTCTCTCTTCCCTGTTTTACCCTCCTCTCTTCCCTGTTTTACCCTCCTCTCTTCCCTGTTTTACCCTCCTCTCTTCCCTGTTTTACCCTCCGCTTCCCTGTTTTACCTTCCTCTCTTCCCTGTTTTACTCCTCTCTTCCCTGTTTTACCTTCCTCTCTTCCCTGTTTTACCCTCCTCTCTTCCCTGTTTTACCCTCCTCTCTTCCCTGTTTTACCCTACTCTCTTCCTGTTTTACCTTCCTCTTCACTGTTTTACCCTCATTCTTCCCTGTTTTCCTTCCTATCATCCTGTTTTACCTTCTCTATTCCCGTTTTACCCTCATTCTCTTTCCTGTTTTAGCCTTCCTCTCTCCCTGGTGTACCCCCATCTTCCTGTTACCTCCTCTCTTCCCTGTTACACCTCCTCTTTCCTGTTTTACCTTCCATCTTTCCGGTTTTACCCTGACTATTTCCCTGTTTTTTCCCTTCCTATCTGCCCATGTGTAGCCTCCTCTCTTCCCTGTTTTACACTCCTCTCATCCATGGTTTTACCATCCCTCTATTCCCTGTTACCCTCCTCCTGTCATTGAGTTTTTACCCGTCCTTATTCCCCTGTTTACCTTCCTCTCTTCCCTGTTTTACCCTCCTCTCATCCTGGTTTTACCCTCCTATCTTCCCTGTTACCATAGTGCTCGTCCGGGTTTTTTACCATACTCTCTTCACTGTTTTCCTTCCTCTCTTCCATGTTTACCTCTCTCATCCTGGTTTTACCCTCACTCTCATCCTGGTTTTTACCCTCTCTCTTCACCTGTGTTTACCCTCCTCTATTCCTGTGTTTACCCTCCTCTTTCCCTGTATTTACCCTCCTCTGCTTCCCTGTTTTTCCTTCCTCTCCTTCCTGTGTTACCCTCCGGTCATCCTGGTTTTACAGTCTCTCCTGTTCCATGTTTGCTTAATCTCTTCCCTTGTTACCCTTTTTTTTCCGCCCTGATCTTCCCTGTTTTACCCTCCTCTCCGTGCTTGATTTACCCTCCTATCGTCCGTTTACCCTCCCTCTCTTCTGTTTTACCTTCCTCTCTTCCCTGTTTTTACCGTCCTCTCGTCCTGGTTTTACCGTCCTCTCTTCCCTGTTTTACCTTCCTCTCTTCCCTGTTTTTTACCCTCCTGTCTAGTCATGGTATTACCCCTCCTCCTTCACATGTTTTACCCTCCCTCTCTTCCCCCATGTTTTACCGTCCTCTCTTCCCTGTTTGACCCTCCTCTCATCGGTTTACCATCTCTCTGTCACTGGTTTTACCCTCCTCTCTCCTGTTTTACCTCCTCTCTTCCCGGTTTTACCCCTCCTCTCACTCCGTTTTACCAACTCCTCTTCATGTTTTACCCTCCTCTCTTCCCGGCTTTACTTCGCTTACCCCAGTCTACTGTATACAGTGTCATAACTTCCTTCCGCGCGGCGTAGATGTTTGGCTGCATTAATTAATTTACTTTCAGTGTGCACTAGCATTCCCCAGACCACATGGCTAAACTGTCTGATATAATTCCAGCACAACCCTGGAGAGAGGGAACCAAAAAAGCAGTGGTTCTGTTTGGGAAATAGAATCTCACCAAGGTGAACTGGAGTGAGGAGAGGGATGTTTGGCAGAAAAAAGAGTGTGTGAACAGCAAATTAAGAAATGATAAATCCTTACGATCATGGACTGGGAACGAGGGTGATACGAGTGAGACCGAGGACCAGAAACACATGGTTCAGAGCGAGACAAACTAGGTTAGGTCAGAGGTTAGTGTGACTGGAGGAATGGAGAAAACAGTGAGTTGTTGTGGGGCTCTACTGCAGACAAGGTCATCAAAGCCTGTTTTCAAAACCAGATGCCTCAAACTACTCTAGTGTGGGATTCTGTAGCCTAATGTTCCCATAGATGATTCAGGTAAGTGAGAGTTGGAAAATGTGTACTTTCAATGTTCCTAAAATACAACAGTTATCCCGTTGTTTTGGGGGAAGCAGCTGATTCTGAGTGACAAACATCAACATCATGTATTTCAACACCGTGAGAGTATTTTTTTTTTGCTGAGATTGTTGTGGTTCTGGATTGGGGTGGTGAGAGGACGGAATACATTACCTTAGAAACCTACTGCAATACAGTAAACGTCATGTTTACAGAGAGCAGGATGAAAATGAAACCTCCACTCACCCAAAATGAAGAAGCCCAGATATGCAGCCATGGCGGACGTCAATATACCTTGACAGAAGGTCATGCGGGAAGGCTGAAACACAGAGTGGGAGAGAGCGTGTGTGTGTGAGTGAGTTAGACAAACAAATACCTCTGTGAAATATCATCAATTGATCTTCAAAGTCATAATAATTATTGCATCATAATCCACAATGTATATCCGTAGAAAACAAGAAGGACCAAAGGCACTCTTCATATAATGACAACGCCTTTATTTTGACTGCATGTTCGCTGGGACAAAGATTTTACAACTCGTCAGGGTGTAACATATCTAAAGATCTATTAGGAAATGTCTCTACGTGCTGGTGACCCTCACCCACTGGATCTCAGGGAGTCCGGGGGATGTCCTAGACCTTAGAGGTCAGGGGTGCCTCTGTGACCGTGTCGTGAGACTGAGGAGAGAAAGGAGTTGTGTGTGCACAGTCTCCACAGACACAGTTTTAAGGGCTAAATGGGTCAGAGCCTGTTCCCTTCAGATGTGTGCGTGGGAACACAGATTACTGATTGTCCAACTATTCTAATCTGACTTGTCTCAAACAAAATAAAGTTGTTGTCAAATAGTACCAAATCCTACCAATGATAATAAAACAATTTCTAAGACTTTTTGTCAACATGGCAAAAAAATCGAACATACAGTGGGGAAAAAAAGTATTTAGTCAGCCACCAATTGTGCAAGTTCTCCCACTTAAAAAGATGAGAGAGGCCTGTAATTTTCATCGTAGGTACACGTCAACTATGAGAGACAAAATGAGAAAAAAAAATTCCTGAAAATCACATTGTAGGATTTTTTATGAATTTATTTGCAAATTATGGTGGAAAATAAGTATTTGGTCAATAACAAAAGTTTCTCAATACTTTGTTATATACCCTTTGTTGGCAATGACACAGGTCAAACGTTTTCTGTAAGTCTTCACAAGGTTTTCACACACTGTTGCTGGTATTTTGGCCCATTCCTCCATGCAGATCTCCTCTAGAGCAGTGATGTTTTGGGGCTGTCGCTGGGCAACACAGACTTTCAACTCCCTCCAAAGATTTTCTATGGGGTTGAGATCTGGAGACTGGCTAGGCCACTCCAGGACCTTGAAATGCTTCTTACGAAGCCACTCCTTCGTTGCCCGGGCGGTGTGTTTGGGATCATTGTCATGCTGAAAGACCCAGCCACGTTTCATCTTCAATGCCCTTGCTGATGGAAGGAGGGTTTCACTCAAAATCTCACGATACATGGCCCCATTCATTCTTTCCTTTACACGGATCAGTCGTCCTGGTCCCTTTGCAGAAAAACAGCCCCAAAG